ATTTTTATTACATACCATGTGATTTGATTTTAAATAATTTGGTGAATTCTAGGGATTTTTTTAAGTAAAAATATCCCTAAATCTGGTGAAATATCAGACCATAACTAGTGATAATTTTTTCTGCAAGGTGGCAACACTGCGCGCGCAAGCAAGCAAGCGTCCGTTCGTGCGTCTGTTTATTCATAAAAATTACGTAATTAAAAATTATGTTCTGTGATGTTTAATTTCTAATTAATAAATAGCTACTTTTTTCTCTCATTAAAGGGGGCGGAATGCTCAAAGGTTCCAAAAATGATGAAGGCGTGTCAAGCCGGACATCCAATAGGAGTGCCTGTGGTGCCAAATCTCGCCGAAGGTCTTAACACATGCATAGTTGGCAGAAATTCTTTCGCAACTATCAAAGGACGACTTGACCGAATGGTAATAAATAGACAATGAAGCTTACATTATATTGTAATGAATAATATATTATATTGTCATATGCCACTTGCACTTTCATCAACATAAAAGACAACTGCAACTCGAACTAATTAACCTGAAAAAAAATTACGAAATCATCGTACCTGTTCGGTGTCGGTTCCCTTTTCGAAAGCTTTTTCAAAACCAATTTAAAACGTGTCGTAAGAGACGCCTATCGGAAATGCCATAAAAAGATTTTGCCTTCTGATAAAGTGTCATTATGATATCATCTCGCTTACCCCAGACGTTAATAATACTCAGAGTGATGGGCAGTAGCGTGAATCACAATCAATCAATCTTTAATTCACGACAAATCTTTCTTAGGGGGCGTCCGTTAAATATGTGAGGTGTTTAGAAACAGTGTCAAATTTCGAGAAAATTAGGCTAAATTAAGTAAAATGTGGCTAAATCCTACACAATAATATTTATCGCGATTATGCGAACTCCACAAAATATATGAAAATAATTAAGCAAATTATATTTTTTTTTTTTGTAAATAAACCCAATGTAATCAAGCTCATATACAGTACATAATTACGCTACAATTCACGTTTTGAAAAATCTCACGTGAGATTGGTGGGGTGGGGTGGTGGGAGGTTCGAACCATATCTCACAACATCTCACCAGGAGGAGGGTCCGGATAGAAAAATCGCCAAAATCACCTCATGTAATTAATTGACGGCCCCCTTACGACAGGCTCATATCCAGCTGTTTACTTTTACGGGTTTATGAAGATGGTGTTCATTTTAATATATTTTATTATTAAATACTGCACCCTAGTTGGAAGTTGACGAGTCGTACATTGCGCGTGCAATCATAACGGTGCTAGAGCGCGAGCGGCTGGTGGCGGACGGCGCGGGTGTGTGTTCGCTCGCCGCTGTCATACAAGGCCTAGTGCCAGAACTTCGCGGAAAACGGTGAGAAAAAGCTAGATGTATATATATGTGTATAATAATATTAATACAATAGGTTTAGGTTAGGTATAGGTTTTAAATGCGGTTTAAAAATTATTATGTTTTCTAATAGTACTATGCGTGGCAGAGAGAATGGAGACACGCTGCAGCTGTAAAGAATATGGTCGTAGCACGAATGGGTCGGCTTGACCGGGAAAGACCCACGCTCTCAAAAAAACCATCACAAAATGGCAGGATAGTGCTGCTGTTTCTTATAGCGAGTTTAGTGAACCGGAGACCCTCTTTATTAGAATCGAGACAATCCAGCTTAGTTCTCAGGGGTGTAAAGCATCTGCATTTTAATTATTAATGAAGGATAAATGTAGATGTTTATGAGCCACAGCATCCACTTATGTGGACTGTGTGCTTGTTTGTCACCTTTATTTAAAAAAAACTCTGTCTCGCATTTAAAATGATAGTAATGGAATATGAAGAGAATTAAAATGTAAAAAAAGGAGATACGTTATTAAGTTTAGTAATTGCTTTAGTATAATGTTATCATAACACTGATAAGAATTCCTTAGAAAATAGTTCTTGAGACTTTAGTCTGCGAGTTAATAAAAAATTTAAATAAATATTTTTGTATTAAAATTTTATAAGGTACTTATATTGAACCACTGTACATTGTGCCTGCATGTAGTCAGTTTGCATAATTTGGTATTACCATCCGTTACCGTTATCTACAGCCGATTAAAGTACACTGCTGAACATAGGCCTCTCCCATAAATTGCCTCATATTTGTTATATGTAGTTAGCACGCTTGGCAACCGCAATTTCAATATAATTAATAGAATCAGGAGTTACTTTGCGGAAATCCATTATATAAAAGCTTTTTAAAAAAATTACTTTGCAAACATCCGCGTTTTGAAATAAAATGATAAGATCTTAGCGGTTAGCCACCGTAGAGTCTATATCACTTGAGGATGCCTCGTGTAGAGGCGAAACACGTGTCGCATTGTCGTCAGTGGTGTGTCTTGCCTAGTGTAGTGGTGCTGGGAGTAGCGGTGCTGGGAGTAGCGGTGCTGGGATTAGTGGTGACGGGGATAGTGCACGCAATTGAGGGAGGGCGGGAGGTGCTCTTCATACTAGGTTTGCAAATTATTATTTTTTTAAAAGCTTTTATATAACCGCAGTTTTTTTTATTTTTAGTCATTATTAAGAAAACGCTGCTGATTTCTTTCTTTTTGTCGCCTCTTACGACACCTATGGGATGATATGATGTAGTGGATATTCTTACATCGCCACTACACGCCGTCACAGCCACTTTATTACTTCTTCTTATGTGACCTGCTGATTTAGTGATAGGTTGTATTTATCATCATTGCAGTACGGTGTGTGTAATAACTGGAGGAAACGTAGACTCCAGCCGTCTAGCTCGTACGATACATCGCGGTCTCAGCGCTTGCGGTCGTTTGCTTCGTTTCGCCGTGCCTCTTGCGGACAATAGAACTGGTCTAGAAAATCTCGCCAAGATTATATCCGACGAGCACGCAGTCATGAAAAGTCTTGTCACTGAGCAGATGTGGGTGCAGAGTGACGTTGGAACTACATGGGTATGTCTTCGAATATATCACATACTTTAGGTTTGTTGCAATGTAAAATGTTCAATGGGGGTAGTATATATATTATGTCTGTGATGGGGGCCTATTTTCGGCATTGCCCAATCACCAAAAAAACACTTGTTTTGCTATTTAGACGATTTATTACTAATTAGACGTTTTCAGATCGACTTTACTTTTACATTTGTATAACATTAAATAATATTTAGCATTTGTAAATATCAATGAATCATGAACCTTATTTTTTTCCAAATTGAGGATCTTGATTGTTTCATATTTACAAATGTTATTATTAGGTGAAAATTTAATTTAATAAGGACCAAGGTTTTCCAGGGTGATTTAGTTGTACCTACTTATATAAATGATTTTTTTATAAAAGAAAAAAATAGTACAAAAGGTTTGTAATCTCTGCATAAAAAAAGTCACTCAATTTCAAACAAAACACATAGAAAAACACGTAGTTACCCACTAAAAACAAGTATCCTTCCGTTTGTAACTGATGTTTGATGTCAAATAAACTTAATTAGGTTTAAACAAGTAAAAAAACCATAAAAAAGTCTGTGGCGCATGACACGCCGAGCGTGTCATGAAATATTTGTTCGCTGCCACAGCTAAAAGTTGTCGAAAATTGGTGCCGCAACGAATCGGTATTGATAAGCAATAATTGGCGCATTCTTGTAAAGGGTTTGGTTAATTTTAATGCGGGCTGTATTAACGAAAATCAATGTGCTTCCCATAATTTTTTTCTTTTACATAAGTATTGATTCTGGCCGAGATTCAAACCGAGGCAAATTTTCTATTAACGAAGTAGTTACCATACCGACATAATTTTAGCTTAGGCAGACTTGATACTGTTAGACGCAAAGTATTTACGAAAATATGAAAGCGGTAACTATGTAAAGCATCAGGAAAACTATTTGGTATCGCCAATACGGCCCCGTAAACAGAGGAAATTATAGAAAACTAGGTGTATTTAACCGTGCACACAAACTAGCAGTTTGTATAAACATCAGAGTTTGGAATACATTTGGATGACAATGTCTAAGTTTTAATTTTTGCCTATGACTGGCTTTAATGATTAGATTAGAAAGTGAAAACTAAACTATAGTAATCGTATTAGACAAAGAAAGTAAAGCGACATGTCAGATAGTAGAAGGGGAGTTGGGTGAACAAGTGGATAAGTTTGTGTATTTAGGAGGTATGGTGTGACAAGAAACTAAGAGTAATCTATTGTGGAAACTCAAAACGTGACAAAAATGGTACTTATGGCAATTCACAATACCTATTTTGTTAGTCCATATTTAAATGAATGTAGTGAAAGTTGAATAGAAACATGGGAGTAAAATTACTGCTGTAGAAATAGTTTAATAGGGCTGGCTCATAGATTAGAGAAAATGTGTGGTAAGAGTGGTTTTCAACAATATATTGTTGTGACCAGGACATTGAAAGGAATGCTTTTGTGGTTTGGACACTTAGAAAGAATGAATGCAAAGAGTGACAAAGCAAATTCATGCTGCAGAAGTGAGTGGCTGAGTCGGCAAGTGATGTCCCAGACAGAAGTTTAAGTTTGGCGTTATATTGATGGGCCATGTTTAAGAGTACCCATAACTGGTAGAGCATGTAATGTGTGCGTGTAATACGTGGATGTGAAAGAAGCGAGAGGGTTGTGTCAGGATCGTGCCAAATGGAAGTTTGTAGTCTTCTGCAACCCTGTTAACTGTGGTCATTTAATTTTTTCAGGCTAATGTTGTAGTGGAGACTGCAAATGAAGAACATTCGGAAAATTTCAAGGATCGCATACGTCATTTATATCCATCTGCAAGATTTGCCATCATGGATCTTAATGATAAAAAATGTAAACGTTAATATTTTGGAATCATATTTGTGATAAGTATATTAAATAAAAAACATTGTCAATACATAATGTTAACTTATAACCGTTGATATTTTGTGTATACTGTAATATGGATATTTGGAATAATAAAATAAAACTAATTTTTGAATTTTTTTTTATTTTAAGCCTTATACATTAAGCTACAGGGTCATCACCCTTAGTTGCTCGTGTGTAGATGACTTGTCCATGGTGTTGCACTACCTGCTTTATTAAACCTGTAACAAAATAAAATAAATGATGTACTACCTACATTTAAGGTAATTTACAAGGCAATTTCAACTAAGTGAATCAGACTCAATATATCAGTATTTTTACTATCATGGTTTATCCAGAAATAATGATCATCACATATGGTTGCGAGCAAAATCATTGTTTATAACATACTACATAAACAAAAAATATTTGGCTACATCACTACCTGTAAAATATTTTAACAAATGGATAACCTGTTTTAATTATTTGCATATTTTTAAATAGGTCTTATTTCATGCTGATAAAGCAGAAATGTTTACCTAATATGCATTTCGCTTATAAAATAATAGCTTTTAGTATTTCAGTATAAAAAATATTAATTATGATCTTGGTGAGAACACTAGCATGGTCATGAAAGTATTGTATTATTAGCAGCTTGAGCATGAATTTTTTATTATATTGCAATTGAGTGACAGTGAAAGATAGTTTACATTTACATCCAGGGTTGCTGTGTAAATGTGTAATAATATATAATAACCTCTATTAGTATTTCTCATTATATGTAGGAAAATATTTAAAACTATCAGTATTGTTGACTGTATTAAAATTAATAATTTTGCTTTTAAAAAAAATATATATAGTAATATGTAATAAAATGGTATGAGATGAAAAAAATATTTTTTCCATTATGGAAAGTATTAACAAAGTATTAAAAAACAAGTGATTAAAGTAAAAAGTTACTTTCAATAAGAATTATTTAAAATCTATATTGAATAAAAATGATTATATTCTAAACAGAGAGTTGAGTATGTTTCAGACATGAATCGGAAAGTATGTAAACTATCCAATTGAGTCCAGATTGCCATACCCAGAATATGAAAGTAAGAGAATAGATACACCTGTGATTACACATACACTCATGTGCCATAACCCTACCTTGTTCATATAGCTTTTTGGGAGAGAGGACAAACGAGCATGTGGCTCACCTGATGGTAAGTGACTACCGCCGCCCATACACAATTGCAATACCAGGGGAACCAGAGGAATTGCAGATGCATTGCCGGCCTTTTAAAAAGGAGTACAGACTGATTGCTGTGACCTTTGGTCTGGAGGAAATTGTGTCACCCCACCAATTTTAAACACATCATGTTTTCCAGTATAAATTGGCAGAATTACTTGGTGTTTACATGTAGCAAGTTCCATCACAAAGCCTTTATATTTTAGTAAATAGTGGCAACATGGAGTGCTTACTTTTACGGCTCTATCACCACTTTATTTTGTATTAATGAGTGATGAGATTTAAGGACCCTATTAATAGCAGCAAGTATCTCAGACTTCAAAGGTGAAAAAAAAAACATCTTGTTTCCTTTAGAAAGGTTACATAAATATGTATATGGATGACAGTAACTGCTCACCATTATGTATAGAAATCAATTAATTACAGATTTGATAGGTGGTATTAGGCTAAAAGGTGGCGCAAAGGCTACTGACTTATTGGGTTCATTCAGTAGTCAGTGATTTGCATAAGCACATTAAACGTTTTAAAGTATACAATCAATTAAATCTGTCTGAAAACTGTGTAAGCTAGCCCAATAAAAATTAAAACAAAGACAGTAAAATTTTCTAACACTCAAAACCCATATTTGTTTCTCTCATTTATTAATCTTGTTCAAATAAATAAAAAATATTACAAACAGGAGAGCTATCCATCTATCTCTATAATTATTTAACGGAATAATTTATTTTAATGATAAAATGAATATATACCTTTTTCTCTGAGCTCGATCAAAGCCCTCCTGGCGAGTGAGCCTCTAACCTTTAATCTCTCAGAAACAACTGCAGGTGTGATTAATTTGTATTGAGGTACTTCTTTGTACAGCTTTTCATAAGTTGGTTTGTCAAACAACACTTGATTGTTTAACTTGTCACGAACTTTTCCTTTGGACCACTTCTGCAAATTTGAATATTTTAGAACTATATTATCTAGAAAATATTAATCCACAAATTTATAAGGTAATATTGCCATCAGACTCAATATATCAGTTAATTTTTAACTTTCATAGACTTCAAGTTATGAGATATAATCATTTGGCAAATTTGTTAACAATAATAAACAACCATTGCTATATTTTGCAATATATTTCAGTGATAAAATTTATCAACATTTGCTACAGTCGGAGTAGTTAAAGAATTAATACATGTGGCAAATATAATAAACAAGAAAATCATAGAGGCAACTTTAATTTAATGTTAAAAATAATTAATTTCTTAACAAACATCTTTTAAAGATTAAAATATTTAACTTATGAAAAGAAAAGATGTAAGAAGTCTTCTCAGGAATGCTTGATCACATAACCTATTTTTCACATGAAAACAATTATTTACCTTCTTCTTGGCTTTGCCGCCGCCAGATCCTTCCTTCTTCTTTTGTGTTTTCTGAGGCTGCTTGGCCGAAGCCTTCGCGTCCTTCTTGGGCGGCTATAATTAAATAAAACTGTTGACATTGTGTTTCCTAGCCACGAGGTGGTAAAGCAAGACGTTTGAATAATACAGAAAAATTATAAGTTTGAACAAAACCTGGTAAATAAAAAGCAATTAGTTACATTAATTAAAACGACTGAAAGCAATGTCTACTCTTTGTAAATAGTTTATTCCAATAACTAAACTGTAAAAATGCACGCATACTCACCATGTTGAAAACCGAAAGAAAAAAGAATTGTATAGATAACGTATGTCACCTTACCAGCAAGTTTATGGTACTCCTCTGTGGTCTATGCTCTATGTTTAGTCTATGTACCGTCTATACAAAAATTGTTTTTCTTTGGTGATAAACACGTACAATTGTACATTTGCCAGTTTCAAAAGGTTTTTAAAAAAGTTTTTATATAAATAATTAAATGCTTAATTTGTATAAATACTTCTTCATAATACGTTGATACGTCACATTGCCAAGTTTTTGGGAGATTTTGACAATAGCTTGAGCCAGCAAACGGTTTGGGATAATAATAAATACTCGTTATTAACAGTCTGCTGACTTAAACCGCAGTCAAAATCTCAAAAAAAAATCGATATATGACGAATCAACATAATGTGAAGAAGTTTTTAAATAAATAATTATAAAATATAATTTCGTAATATTTGACACTGACAAAAGTACTACCGCACGGCGCCATTAACATAGAAAGAAGTATTTGATATGTACCTACCCTAAGCACTGACTTCTATATAATATGGACTGGCTATACACCGTAGATAGAGGATTGAGATACTAAGTCTATGCTATACACCGTGACATAATGAGGCGATTTGATTTTCGACATTTTGGCGCTGACAGCAGAAGTGAACGTCAACGGAACTAATAATAGAGATAAGACAGTGTGAAAAAATATATCGATAAAAATTCTATACACATGCCTATCCATAACGTCCATTCCATTTATGTATCATATTAATATAATGCCATACAATAAATAGTGTAGTGGCGGGTAAGAATACTCACTACCCCATATCTTCCCATGGGTGTTGTAAAAGTCGACAGAGAGAAACTGAGGCAGAAGTTGGGCAGCAGCATCTTTCTGATAACAGCAAAAAGCAATAAAAAACTGCGGTAGCCATCCCGCTCCTATATACCCCCCATGAGCAATGACATTAGTAAACGGTTCCCAGTCCCCGGTGGCCCCGATATTCCTGGCTACGGTGGCGACCATGGTAACGGCAGAGCAGGGCTGCTAAGAATCACCGGGAGGGCGACCATCTGTCCCAAGGAGGTGTCGGATTCATCGTCCACAAGTCTCTCGTTAACAACGTTGTAAAAATTGGGACTGTGTCGACGAGGATTGCGTACCTTATACTCAGAATCACCAAACGGTATCTGCTGAAAGTCATACAGGTTTACGCACCAACCTCGGCATATCCCGATGAGGAGGTGAAGGAAATGTATGAGGATATCTTTAGAGCCATGCATTCCTCCAAAACCCACTATACGGTGTTAATGGGAGACTTCAACGCAAAACTAGGCATAAGAGTGAACGGTGAACTGAAGGTAGGGAAATTCGGAATAGGGCAACGGAACCCAAGGGGACAGCAGCTGGCCGACTTCATGGAGAATGAGGGACTCTTTATGATGAACTCTTTATTCCAGAAGCGGCCACACAGAAAGTGGAACTGGTCGAGCCACGACGGTTCGACTAAAAATGAGATTGACTTCATTATGACGACCTAATGACAACTGTTCAGTGATGTCTCGGTGATGGCGAGGTTGAAAATTGGCAGCGATCACCGAATGGTTAGAGGCATACTGAATCTAAACATTAAGTTGGAGAGGTCACGTCTAATGAAGTGAACGCTCCGTCCACCTCGTGCTTTAATCCGAAGTCCCGAAACCTTTCAGCTCGATTCACAAAATCGTTTTCAGTGCCTAGAAGATTGCAATGCAGTGGACAATATAAACTCGTGGAAACTGTCCATGCTGTCGGAGCTAAGTTTTGCAAGACCCGCCGCAGAAAAACACAAAAACTCTCCGATCACACTACTTTTCTTTGTGAATTTGCAGTCTTCAGTATATTTGATAGCATACAGGAAACTGAACAGACATATCTCTAAACGCATGCGGCGGGATTTTTGCACCTTTAATACTGCTCTTATTGAAGAAGCGATCGAGCGGAACCAGGGTTCTAGTCTTTGCCAGAGATCTGTCCGCCAGAAAGTGCCAACTGTCGAAGCTGAAGACCGAATGTGGCAGCATCGTTTCTGAGACACCTGAGATTTTAAGTGAGATTGAGAGGTTCTATAGGTGTTCAATTAGGGAACATGAATAAAATAGGTGACTCACACGATAGGCAAAATTGTATATTTAAATAATAAAAATATAAAATAATATGGTGGCGATCGGGTCGCGAGCTATCGGCGAGTGACGGTCTTAGGCGCGGTGGTGAGAACCCCCCCGCGCTTCTCGTACTCCCCACGAACACCGTCGGTGCTGTCGTAACGGCACCAACAATGGGCAACTGTACACGTCATCGTTGGAGCTACACGCAAGTGTGAGTACGATCCAAGAGCAAGTCTTATCCGACAATATTCCGATGATATCCCGGACGTCAGTCTTAGCGAGATTAGAATGGCTCTCCAGCACCTTAAAAACGGCAAGGCCCCAGGCGAGGATGGAGTTACAGCAGAGCTTCTGAAAGCGGGTGGAAAACCGGTACTTAAATTTCTTCAGAAGCTTTATAATTCCGTCTTCCATGGCGGCACCTACACTGGAGGCGTGGAGCAGAAGTGCGGTGGTCTTGTTCTTCAAGAAAGGCGACATGAAGAACTACAGACCGATTTCCCTTCTGAGCCACGTCTACGTGCTGTTTTCGAGAGTCATTATTAATCGTCTCGCATGCAGACTCAACGACTTCCAGCCTCCCGAACAAGCCGGTTTCCGAAAAGGCTTTAGCATCATAGACCACATACATACCCTTCGGCAAATTGTACAGGAGACCGAAGAGTACAATCTGTCACTTTGTCTTGCGTATGTGGACTATGAGAAAGTCTTTGATTCTGTCGAAATTTGGGCGGTGCTGTAGTCCCTCCAGCGGTACCAAGTGGACTGTCGGTATATTGAAGTGCTAAAGTGTTTGTACATTAGGGTCCGATCCGTATATCCAAGTACAGGACCAGAGTATGAAACCTATCCAACTGCAGAGAGGTGTAAGACAAGGTGACGTAATATCCCCGAAACTCTTCACCGCTGCATTGGAAGACGTTTTCAAGCTACTGGAAAGGATACGGTATTAACGTCAATGGCGAGTACATTACTCACCTTCGATTTGCCGACGATATAGTCCTTATAGCAGAATCGCTGGAGGACCTAAGCACTATGCTCAATGACGGCGCGGCTATCGGAGGATCCCCCTTAAGATTAATTAGTTCACACATCACGTCGGCAGTCAAGTTTCCACTAAAACTCCAAAAAGATCTTTTGCTGCCCTAGTCTCAATTTTTTTAATGTTGGTACTTGTAACCGCTTGTTTTTACAGCTTTATCGGATATACATACCTGCTCTAGTTAATAATAATGAAGTTAATTATGTAAGGCATCTGCGCTACCTCCGGTTGAAGTAACTCGAATTTAATGAAATACTCGTGTACAGACCTAGTACTTAAATACTAGATTTGGGTCATTGACTTGAATCTTTTTATAACGCGCATTAAGGTACTTGAATACCAAAAGTACTTGACTTGGTCGCCACTATTCTGCCCTATCTCCCTAGGTAGATCTGTGATTCTTCGCCCCCATTAATTTTCCAGTATTACTCTTAGGATAAGATGATCACCCCTAAAACCGTACAGGTTATGTACGTTCAAAGAGTATTACTATACTCAGTAAAACGTAATTATATTCTTTAGGATACTCAGTATAGTATGATGTGTAGTCTACAGTATAGGGGTCCTAAGCACTTGTTAACTTGTTAACCGTGGTTGCTGTAACCATACCATGCCCGTCATGTAACTTGACCAAGATGGCGTAAACTGCCCATGTATATATATGTTTAATCAAAATATGCATGCACATACATAAACATATAGCATCAAAAGGCAGGAAGACACATTCAGTGCACATTGTAAAACATCTAATTGCTAAGTCTTGAACAGCAAAACGCAAAAAATTATTACCGGTTTCACTGATACCTCTATATATGGTTATGCAATTTCTTCCCCAAGAAATGCCAAAAAACACGGTCTTGAGCATAGATAACACATTATATCCCAGGTCTTGAGCCAACTGTATCCACGGCTATGTTTGATTTATAAATGGTATTCTTCAAAATTTAATAAAAACAAATTAAATTAAAATTTAATTACCACTTACAAATTAAAATTAATAAACATTTTTTATAATTAAATGATATAATAACCATTATTTGAGAAACTGTGGCAGGCGCAAGCGCCGCTGTGAGCGAAATTTGGTCTGAAGGACATGAAACCAGTCAATAAAATCTATATAATTACTAGCTGGCCAGGGAGACGTTGTTCTGCCTTCTCCGATGACCCTGTGTCCTATAAAAATTCTTAAATTCGTAATAAAAAATATTGAGGGTCACTTATAGGGATAAAAAGTATCCTATCCAATCCTATCTCTCAAGTTGGAGCAAACTGCACATAGTGTGCAAAATTTCATTGCAATCACTTTAGTAGTTTATGAGTTCATTGCGGACAAACAATGTGACACGTAATTTTTATATATAAAGATTATCTTATATAAATAAAACGATTGAGGTTTGCAGTTGTGCGTGCATCACGGAAAAACTACTGGATAGATTTCAATTAGGTTTTCTAAGTTTTATTTATTAGATACTTGGCCCTAATCTAAAAAATATTGCGATATCTTCATTTAATATAAAGTTATTACAGCTTAAAAAACAACGATTTTTATAAGCACTACGTGTTCAGTGATGGGTTTTCTTGATTTATTAAGGAACGCGGACGAAATCACGGATATAAGCTAGTTACAAATATACAAGATAACAGGTATTGCGAGTTTGTCGTCATATTTTATAGTGTTGGAAATGAAACACTTAAAATTATATAACAAAATAGAAAACAATTTATTTATGTATCTCTTGAATATTGCCAACAACATATCCGTTTAGACTAGACATTAATTCTTTGTGAATAAAATGTATTTAATAACAAGCTTAATAAGCGTTGCTGGGGCCGCATCCGGGTCCATCATCAGATCTGGTGTATATTATTGCATTCTCATATAAGTTACATACATATGCAAATTTTCAGCTCAATCGGATGTAAGCAAGTGCTTTAAAAATTGATTACAAATATTAAACTAGAAAAACATACGAAGAAAGCAAAATAATATAAATATACTAGCTGGCCAGGCAGACGTTGTTCCGCCCGTTCCGACGCCCCTTCCTATAAAAAATCCTTAAATTTGCAATAAAAAATATTGAAGGTCACATTTCGGGATAAAAAGTATCCTATCTCTCAAGTTGGACCAAACTGCACACAGTGTGCGAAATTTCATTGAAATCAGTTTCAGTCAGGAGTTTATCGCGGACAAACAATGTGACACGTAATTTTTATATATAAAGATGATACATCAGAATCCATTCCTTTTGGTATTTAATATTTATATCATTTTGTGCAAATTTACTACAAAAACGGATAATTTACAATTGCGTTAATTTTAAATAAATAAGACCTTTATAACACTAGAATATTTACACTATTGAATCACTGTCCCTAGTCACGCCAGACACACGAGCATGCCAGGTGCACGCTCCTAGCCACGCCACTCTCATGATTATAAGCATGCTAGATGCGTGTACGCTTCACTAGTAACGCCACTCACGTTTTTAAGGACGCCAGGTGCACGCTCCTAGGCAAGCCACTCACGCTTCTAATCATGCCAGATGCACGGTTCTAGCCACGCCACTCACGCTTCTAAGCATGCCAGGTGCACGTTCCTAGCCACGCCACTCTCATGATTATAAGCACGCTAGATGCACGCTTCTCTAGTAATGCCACTCACGTTTTTAAGGACGCCAGGTGCACGCTCCTAGGCAAGCCACTCACGCTTCTAATCATGCCAGATGCACGGTTCTAGCCACGCCACTCACGCTTCTAAGCATGCCAGGTGCACGTTCCTAGCCACGCCACTCTCATGATTATAAGCACGCTAGATGCACGCTTCTCTAGTAACGCCACTCACTTTTTTAAGGACGCCAGGTGCACGCTCCTAGGCAAGCCACTCACGCTTCTAATCATGCCAGATGCACGGTTCTAGCCACGCCACTCACGCTTCTAAGCATGCCAGGTGCACGTTCCTAGCCACGCCACTCTCATGATTATAAGCACGCTAGATGCACGCTTCTCTAATAACGCCACTCACGTTTTTAAGGACGCCAGGTGCACGCTCCTAGGCAAGCCACTCACGCTTCTAATCATGCCAGATGCATGGTTCTAGTCACTCCACTCACGCTTCTAAGCATGCCAGGTGCACGTTCCTAGCCACGCCACTCATGCTTCTAAGCATACCAGGTGCACGCTTCTAGCCACGCCACTCATGCTTCTAAGCATACCAGGTGCACACTCCTAGCCACGCCACTCACGCTTCTAAGCTTGCCAGATTGGTATTTAATATTTATGTGCACGCTCCTAGCCACGCCACTCTCATGATTATAAGCACGCTAGATGCACGCTTCTCTAGTAACACCACTCACGTTTTTAAGGACGCCAGGTGCACGCTCCTAGGCAAGCCACTCACGCTTCTAATCATGCCAGATGCATGGTTCTAGCCACTCCACTCACGCTTCTAAGCATGCCAGGTGCACGTTCCTAGCCACGCCACTCATGCTTCTAAGCATACCAGGTGCACGCTTCTAGCCACGCCACTCATGCTTCTAAGCATACCAGGTGCACACTCCTAGCCACGCCACTCACGCTTCTAAGCTTGCCAGATGCACGCTCCTAGCCAAGCCACTCCCATGATTATAAGCACGCTAGATACACATTTCTCTAGTAACGCCACTCACGTTTTTAAGGACGTCAGGTGCACGCTCATAGGCACGCCACGCACGCTTCTAAGCATGCCAGATGCACGGTTCTAGCCACTCCACTCACGCTTCTAAGCATATCAGGTGCACGCTCCCAGCCACGCCACTCACGCTTCTAAGCATGCTAGATGCACGCTCCTAGCTACGCCGCTCACGCTTCTAAGCATGCCAAGTGCACGCTCTTAGCCACGCCACTCACGATTTTTTTTTATAGGATAAGGGTGACAAACGAGCACACAGTCCACCTGATGGTAAGTGGTTGATGTGGCCCATAGACATCTACATCTATCCTCTATTACAAATCAATATGTAGATGCGTTGTCACCCGTGAGGACCAAGATGGAATGCCTCATTTCCAGTAAAAAGGGCCTCCGGCCACCTGCAAAAATAAATAATCCTATTAGTATCCCAACGAAACTTGTCTATCTCTTCCTCCAGGGTACGTGCAATAAATGTTACCTGAATATGCATTTTAAATCGAATTACTAATACATGTTATATTTATACTGTGGGAATTCCAGACTGAGTGGAACAAGTGGAACTCATCGTGCCACCTACTGGAATTGTAGAACAACGTATGCCAGGTCAGCTAATACGTTTATTTATCACGGCTAAAAGCCGAAGTGCAGTTACACCTAGGTTTAGCCAGCTATAACTATGGGAAGCAAATTGCGATTGTTGAACTTTTCTAAGCATGCCAGGTGTATGCATTCCTAGCCACGCCATTTTCGTGGTTATAAGCATGCTACTTGCATGCTCCTAGCTACGCCACTCTCATAATTATAAGCATGTACGACGTTACAAAGTATTTATTAAAAAATAATATAAATAACATTGAAATATTTTAACAGCTTCACAAGAAGTAATGTCGAATACATGAAGCAAATACAAAGAGGAGGCGGCATAAGCAACTGTGCACTGTGATTCTAAGTAGGTCCTGACGTCATCATAGTGGGCGTGGCTTTAGTTAGTATACTGTCAGCATTCGTCCTGTGTGCTTATGTGTTGAAAATCGCAAATCGGTGTATTTTCGTAGTAGTAAAGAATGAAGTGTTGTGTTTTATCGTGTAAAAACTACTCAGATAGACGCTCTGATGCTGTGGATGGTATCACATTTCATTTGTAAATAATTTTACACCTAATTTATTAAACTAGTTCTAGAAAAATCTCTTTGGTTCGGCTTTCAAATATAATTAAATATATTCCACACTAGATGGCGACACTTTGTGTCATGTGAACTAAAAATATAAAGATACATAGAGCTCAGTATTGGTAAAATAATCATACGAAGATGCTAAAATTTATTTTGCATTCAGACATAAAGAAATTTTAATCGCCAAAATATTATTTTTATAGTTTATAATCACTTTGTGAACAGGCCGCCATCTAACGTCAAGGTAGCTAAACTACATTGCAACATGGATATGGAACGATTCGAGTAGTTTTACTATTTATCGGTACATGTAGATTGTGTAAAGTGGGCGGGGTTTGACATCCCCTCACCCCGTAAATTGTCACGCGTTGTTACATATTGAAATCTAATTACAACACCTCCTCTTTGTATTTGCTTCATGATCGGATCTTATTTGCTTGCTGAGCTTCATAGCATTCCAGGCGACCTATGGTTGAGTTTTAATACGAGTATTTGACGTTTTTAAGTCTTTGATAAAATAATTTCGTAATATATGTAAAAATGAAATAGAATTTAATTAATATTTAATGTTTCTTAGAATCAATTAAAAATAAATAAATGATTGACATCGAAGTAACATAGTTTGTAAATGTTCTAGTGAGAGAAAGGCCTCAGACTTGAGTAGTTTTAGGTGTGGCGCGTAAATTTAAACATCTTGCTCACATCATGTTTGTTAAATTGTTACATTTGATATTGTAGTGATTCATAATATGCAAGCTCCCCTTCAGTCACGGATGGACGGAACGATTCAACTCCTTGCCACAACTCGGAGACGCCAAGAACCACGGAGTCAGGAGTCAGATCGCTTTCTTTTAATATACCTGCAAAATAAAAATATTCTATTGAGTTAATCATGCCATTAAATCTATCGTCATCCGTCATCATGCATCTGGTCACGTGGGTGCTGTCAAAGGTAACTATGGGAAAGCCTAGAAAAATGCTATCACCTCCCATAGATAATGTATCCCATAGATTGCAGTTTGCCAACTCCTAATTGCTTTACCAGCGCTGGGGAGCAGCATCGACACGTTCGGTACTGCGATCGTCAATCTGCCTGCGAATCGTGACAATCAAGGTAGAAGTTTGTTACATGGTAGAGCCATGTTGCAGCTATATTATGATTGTAGCACGAATGACTCTTGGAATGGGAATCGGCTCGACCGGGGAAGGACTACGCCCCACAGAATACCAGCGTAAAATAGCAACTTGATGCTGCAGTGTTTCGTACGGTGAGTGTTGAGAACTGAGTACCCTTTTTACTGGAAACGAGGCATTCCATCGTAGTCTTCAAAGGTGACATCGTATCTGCATTTTGATTCTTAATCGAAGATAAATATAGATGTCTATGGGGCAAAGCATTCACTTACAATCAGGTGTATGTCACTCCCATTCCATAAAAACAAAGGCAACATACCTACAACCATAAAGGATCATGTTCAGCATTGAAATGCACGCAATGTATGTTATGTTGTTATGGTGAATAAAGTTTATTTATATTAATTAAACATACCCAATATAATTCACATTTTAATGTAGTACTGGTCTTCTCATGAGCATTCATTCATTCAACCATTTAATGTGTGGTGTTCTCGTAAATAGGAAACATTATCCTAATTGTCAGCAATCTCTAGCTTATAGCGTTAATCATTTTTATCTCATAGAACTCCATTTCCTCACACAGCGCAAAATTGAACATTTTAGAATTATATATTCAGTCAATAACAAAAATAAGTGACATAAAGTTACATTGGTCGAAATATTAAATCTTAGCATACGATTAAATCAGTTAATCCGCACAACCAAAAATGTACCTTATTTACCATAATTTGGATGAATAAAATGAAATATTGGTTCATACTCTCTCAATACTTTTTTAAGATGGGTTAGTGGTGAGCACGGAGCCTCACACTGGTGTTGTTAAACAATAGTATGTGGGGTTTTGCGTATGGGAAATCTGGATGTATTTTTCATTATTAGTCGGCCAGATCTAGATTTTCTTGACTTAATCCCCTTTGTGACGAAAGCTATTTCAGAAGTAACGGTGACAAACATAGTCCATCTAACGAAAAGTGGATGCTGTGGCATACATCCGTGATAAATAATCAAAATACAGATACGCTAACCTACCTCTGAGAACTAAAATGCATTACCGGTAACAGAAACTTTTTTATTCAATATAGATTATAAATAATACTTATTGAAAGTCACTCTTTTGTTTAATTACCACTGGTTCGAAAAAAAACCTTAGTCCTGGGAAGAACCAGCAAGAAACCCAGCGGGACTTTTTTTTAAATAACAACTTACAATCATGTATGTTACACAATTAACCACACAAAACAAATTAGAATTAGCTTGGTAGCAATCACCTTATTCTTTTCTTATTATCATCCATAAATTCCTTAATATTATAATAACCCTTATTATACAGACTTTGTTTAATAAGGTTTAGAACTTTGAGCAGGTCAAATTTTATAAAAGGATCTCCGGTTCTTGTCACTCAGCATAAGAAACTCAGAAGCATTGTGCTGCCATTTTGTGTAAGCGTGGCCTTTCCTTCAAGTTTGTACTAGTAACACAGATGTTCCTAACGCTGCGTGCTGACGGATTTCACATGTCCCCGAAATGTTTTTATTTCTCAGATGTGAAGAATTTCATTTGTGTAGACAGGGATCAAACTCGGATTGCTCGTTACGGCGAGCGCTTAGCTACTGAGCTACCAGGGATTCCCCGGAATACATACGAACCGCTTTTGATTTTGTCCACCAGAGCACGCACCGCAGCGGAGCGCGCAGTGGACACAACTTGCATGAGGTCGGCGCCCGTGCAGCGCTCCGGCAAGGCTTCGGCCACATTCATCAAATTTACTTCCGGCCTTAATTTGTAACTGCAAAAGAGAGAAATAAACGTATTTGTACCTTTAAAAAACGTTCCTCCACACTAGGATTTCGTTTTGCATAGTAAAAGCATTTTACTACAGTTATTTTTTTGTTAAATAAATATTAGTAGGCCATACAAACAATCAATCCATTCGGAACGTTAACTTGCGGCTCCGCAGTGTCGTTTACGTATTTAAAAAAATATAAAATACAAAAACATTATGTACCTCAAAAACTTCTTTTTGTAACAACATATAACAGATACAGATTTAATGTAAACTCTGTTCCAAGAAATAAGATTTGTCATAAATATATTTAATTAGGATAAATTCTATATATTTAACTGAGAAGTGATGGTGTAAGAATATCCACTATCCCATATCGCGCCGTTGGTCGATACGAGGCGGAAACGGCAGAGCGAAACTGAATAAAGATACGGGCAGCAGAATCTTTTTGCTAACAACTCAAAATATTAAAAACTCTAATAAAAATAAATTAAAATTAAAAATTTTGTACAGCCGACTTCAATAAAAGTTATTAAGAATAACTCAAAAACTGTTAGTCTAATCTTGATCAAATTCATACGGGACCACACGAAATGGTTTCAAATAAAAAATGAATCATCGAAATCGATTCACCCAGTAAAAAATTATGACGTAACACACAAAAAATCATACAGTCGAATTGAGTACCGTATCCTTTATATTATACGTGGTAGAGCCATGTTGCAGCTATATTACTGGTATAGTTGTAGCACGAATGGGTCGGCTCGACTGTGGAAGGACCATGCTCTCACAGAATATCAGCGTAAAATAGCAGCTTAAGGTGGCACAAGTCGCGGGCTCGATCTCGCTGGTGGGCGCGGCCAAAAAGCACGCTGTCTCACCTGGCATCGTGCCCGACAGAGATAATATCAGTGATGAGCATACCGACACTAGTATTCACGCATGTCTTGTTCGTACAGTGTTCCGAACCGTTAGAATGAAAACGAAGTTACACGAACACGATGCAACATCTATACTAATATAATAAAGCAGAAGAGGGTTTTTGTTTGTTTAAACGTGCTAATCTCTGGAACTACCAGTCAGATTTGAAAAATCTTTTTTTGGATATTATAGCCAGATTCATGTTGAATAGTATAGGCTATACAGCATTAGGCTATATATCTCAGCTAGCCTATATTTGTTAAGGAAGTCAGAAGAAAAAGCGCTGTTATGGTTCGGGATACGTAAATACAATGTTCTAGAAAAATATAGATCTTTACTCCGTCTAAAAAAAGTCCGCGATAGGTACCATATGTCTATTTTTTATATATAAGCCACAATTAGGCATTTTGTGACAAAAAAAATGAAAATTTAATTATTAGGCACCTTACGAACCAAAGTTACTTCATTATCAAGACAATTTTATGAAGATAAACTTCGTTCTTTATACCATGTTTATATAGTACATAGTTTAAGAGATAATGTAAAATTAAAATAATTCAATACCTACTTGGCTTGACGCGCAAACAACGCATAACCCCTAGCCCGGTGCGAACTGAGAAGCCAGTATTGAAAGCTTCTATGAGCGAGGTTAGGTTAGCCGTTAGTTCAATCGTTATCTATATCTACACAAATAAATAAAATTGAAGTGTCTGTTTGTAATGTCAAAATAACAGCTTTTTACTAATTGCGTATGAAACTGTATACGGTACTTATAACATTAACACAATTTTTAACATTTTTGTATGTCTGTCAGTCTGTTTGTTGCGGTTAATTTCCAAAACGGCTGGACCGACTTTGACGGGACTTTCACTAGTAGATAGCTCATGTTATAAGAAGTAACTTAGCCTGCTTAAATTTTAGAAAAATTATTAGGTGTCTTTGCAACAAAATTAACGCCCTAAACTAAACGCGGACGAAGTCGCGGGGTACAGCTAGTAGCTAAAATAAATTCAAAATTAATTGAGTACTTTTATCTATCTCCCGGGTGAGCGTAGCAATGATTAGTTACATCTTTATTTCTGAACTCTTTCATTTCACGTTGCTGTGGTATTTTGAAAGTTTAAATTTAATTGATTAATAAGTATAAGAGGTTGATAGCAAATTTATCAAGAATCATTTCTTGCCTACACACTTTTCATGTATCGTGTACGTTTTTCTTTAAAACTGGAAAAAACCGCGCATAATATGCCGACAGATAAAATAAAAGTACTCCATTAATCATGACAATTTTTCCATACATTACAATAAAATAAAATATTTGATTGCAATTATAAAATGCTTGAACTAGGTGTCATGTAATGCCACGCATCTCGGACACGTGATAACGCGGGTGAAACCGCGAAATTATTAAGTATACCTCTGTGGCTCTATATACCTAATATAGATTGCTTATTTTATTATGTTTAGTTTTCCCCGAGTGGTCATGCAGCAATCACTCAAGAGTTCGGCTTCGAACGTGTGTAACTCGATAATTATCCCACGGCAACGAAATACCTGAATAAACGGTATCATATATGATATTTGGCAGCTCCGTGGCGCAGTGGCTTAGCAATGAATTGTTGTACTGGGAGCCGCGGGTTCGAATCAATCGAACAAGTATTTGTATGGTCTACAAATAATTGTTCCGGGTCTGGATGTTTGTAAACTGCCTCCACGATACAGGAGAAAATCCTAGTGTGGGGTAACGTTTTTTTGAAAAAAAAATTCCAGACTATAGCCTATCTCTGAGCAAAATATCATCCAGATCCCTTCAGCCGTTCTGGCGTGATTGAGTAACATACATCCATTCATCCGTCCATCCAAATATCCAAACTTTCGCATTTATAATATTTAGATAATAATCGTAATTGGTCTGCCTACCTATAAATTGTTTTCAAAAATACTTACTTACCTGGCTTTTTATATATATACTCAATATCACTAAACGTAAGCACAGGTTTTTATCAAGACAAGTGACCCATCAAGATTGTTTTCTTAGTACTGACGTACCTAAAGTTTACAATTTTGTGGCCACGACGCGGCGAGGTTTTGTGACATTTTGTTGTATTGTAGATTGTAGGTATCTAGGTAATAACAGTAGGTACCTATGAAAATCCCACATAATATACTTTGTTTGTCCGCCGCAAAAGTCGTCTAATAAATAATTAAACTGTTTTGTAATTCTTTATTTATTTATAACACTTGCATTGAGAGCCGTGGTAGCTCAGATGGTTAGCGCTCGCTGTAAATATCACATTACGCGAGCAACCCGGGTTCGATCCCCGTCGGCACCAATGAAATTGTTGCAATTTTATATAGTAATCGAATATAGACTTTCCTTTTTTTACTTTTATAATTATATTATATTACAGACGAAAATTTTAAAATATTGTCTGTCGTCCAAAACGCATCATCTCATTCAATTATATCAATTTCCATGCCGTCTTTTGTCTTTGGCGTCCAAATTACAAAATAGCAAAACTTTTCGTTTCAAATATAACTCGAATATAAGCGCGCGTCACCGCCTGTGCGTGTGTGTGTAAGCATCGTCCTCCCGCACCGCACCGGGGGATACATTATTCAGTGAGATGCACGATAATTCATAGTAGCATGCGCGCGTAAAAAAATACGAAAAGGCCTTTGGAAGAAGGGGTTTTCTGAAAAAACCACTGCATTAATCAATTACAAATAAAATTTATTGAGTTCTTTGATAATTGAGTTGTGTCGGTACCGACTTTGTTTTGGAAATTTTTCACTTCTTTTATTACTAATTTACGCCCAAAGTTGTGTTAAAATTGGCAATAAAAACGAATCTTTGGTAGCTCGTAACTTTTTAATAACATTTTATTTTACTATTCTGTTTCCGTACAGACAAATTTAATAATGAGACAAAACGATATCATGTTTAATTTTGGATGTACACTGTCAAACAGCGGAGTAAAACCCCTCCGAAATTTCTATGGAAATAATGTCGACTAGTGTCACCTTAATGCTGGTGAGTGTAGAGAACCGGAGACCCTTTTTACTGGAAAAGAGGCATTCTTTAGGAACTTCACCGCACGTGGACCCCGTCTCAAAATTATAAAAACTGCGGTTACCAGCCCGCCTGCTAATCGTTTCAACTGTGGCATAAACCCCCTATAACCATTTTATAGGAAAGCCTATGTTCAGGTTCAGCAGTGGACTTTTACAGGTTATTGAATATGTAAATTGTAACCGCTGAGAGAAAACATTAAAGTGAAGGAGAATCTTGGAACTTCTTGGAGCGATTGCCTAGGTTTTGAATTCAAATTAAAATATTTTCACCTCCAATTTGAATGGCAGTTAGTCATGGGACCTTATAATCAAACTTTAGGGATTTTTATATAAAACAGCAACAGCTTAGACGTATTCTTTCTCACAGAATACGAACGTAAAATGGCACCTTGGACACTGCTGTGTTTCGTATGGTGAGTGTAGAGAACCGGAGACCCATTTTACTAGAAAAGAGGCATTCCATCTTAGTTTTCACGGGTGACGACGCATTTGCATTTTGATTCTTTATTGAGGATAGATGTAGATGTCTATGGGTCACAGCAACCACTTACCATCAGGTGGGCTGTGTGCTCGTTTGTCACCCCATCCTATAAAAAAAAGCTTAGACTTTTAAAACTGGTAAAAATTAAGACCTCTTTATTTTTTTTTTATTTTTATTTCTTTATTAAGTAACTAGCTGTTCCCCGCGACTTCGCCCGCGTGTATTTTAGGGTTTTAATTTTTTTGCGAGGAGCCCTAATTATTTCTTAAAATAAAAGTAGCATAAGTTACTCCTTAAGACATCAGCTATCTAACAGTGAAAGTCCCGTCAAAATCAGTCCAGCCGTTTCGGAGATTAGCCGGAACAAACAGACAGACAGACAGACAGATAGGCAAAAATTTTAAAAAGTGTTTTTTTGTTATAAGTACCGTTTATACTTTCATATGCATTTAGTAAAAAGCTGTAATTTTGACATTACAAACAGACACTTCAATTTTATTTATTTGTATAGATAATTTGAGCTTAAGTGAAGAATGTGGCAAGCGTCGTATGCACATATTTTACCTGTTTTGTAGTTGATATAAAAGTTTTTCCAATGACGTACGGAGAGAATGGTGAATGATTCTACTTAATATTAATGACTTTATACTACACAAGATGGTCAGTTAGTCGATCATCGTCGTCTATTAATCAGAGTGACAGATAAGCACACAACCTACCTGACGGTAAGTGGATGCTGTGGCTACATCTATACTCGATTAAGAATCAAAATGCAGATGCGTTGTCACCCCTGAGGATTAAGACGGAATGCTTTGTTTTCAGTAAAATAAATGGGTTTACGGTTCTCTCTTTCGCACATTGACCATAAGGAACACAACACAATTAAGTATGCTGTGCAACTTGTATCTCTATCTCTACCAATTTGTCCTTTCTTGTTTTATAATATGTAGTGCAGCTACCTCTTGGTATAGTAGTAGTAGACGTGATTGCTGATGGCTGTCCCGGTTTGGAATCAGAGGTCGAGCCAATATCAGTTATTTGGTGTTCTGTCAAAAACTCTCAGTTGCAAACCGGAGTCAGAAAGTTGGCGATGTGAAACATCCAGGCCTTGAAAAGCACGTAAAGCCATTGGTTCGGATTACCGTCTAATCGGACTATGAAAGTGAGGGAAGAAAGAGTCAGGTGTACTCTTGTTTGCGCATACACTCGGGCACTATAATCCTGCCGTGCGCAGATGGCTAGTCTCCATTGAGACTGGTCGCCGTGGCTAAAATTCTCGAGGACATTATTATGCAGTGTAAATAACTAACCTCCTACATAGCGCCTTAAGCACCGACGTCTTCTCTTGCGTTCCGATATACGGCCCTACGTATATAAGTTTGTCCAAACGCCCAGGACGCAGTAACGACTGCTCCAACAGATCCGGACGATTTGTTGCGCCCATTATGAATACGAAATTAGACGTATCTGCATCTAAAACATAGTTTCAATGAAGACATATTATAATACACATATTCGTAATGAAGATATCCAGTATAATTACGAGTAGGGTGAACGACATTGCGATCAGTGAGCTGGAGTGGGAATATGCCGGCCATATTCTTGTAGCGAGAAGAACCGACAACTGATGGATAGGAAAGGTTCTCGAGTGGCAACCTCGTACCAGGCAATCACTTTATAAATGGCAATCCCGCGGTGGGGAGAGGGCATTTTGGAGGATAGGGAAAGGAATTCTCGTGCGAGGGAATCAAAAGAACGCATAGTTTTCAAAACAAAGTCCTTACCCTAAACCCTCTCAGAAATGAGAGAGGCCTGTGCCCAACAGTGGGACGTATATAGGCCGTAACTATACTATACTATTATATTAGATTTGATAGACCATAAATCCTCGCAAAAGAAAATAGTTCCTGCTAAGTGACCTTTGCTTTACAGCACCCATAACGCCGGGAATTAAAAAGTTAAAATTAAACGAAATAAAATCGGTAACATTAGTTTCATTCAACATGTTATTTAACCTAATAAAGTATGAACCCAATATTCGGGGTTATCGCTTCTAAAGCTGAGCCGCGTTGTTTGTTTTAAATAACGATAGTGTTTGTAACCTAAAATAAGATATTAATATAAGAAGCCATCAGCTTATAATCGATACTGATACATTTAAACAAAACAACGAAACCAAATATTGAATGACAGAATGTAAGTCAATTTGTACGCACCAGAGTTACAAATGGTGCAAGTACGCTGCTCTGCCCCAATGCGTGTTGGCCTACTTGTTTGCTTGTCTTCGAAATATACAGTTACTCATACTTGCAAGATTTCTTCGATGTTATCCTTCACCACCGAGGACTTGGTAAATTGACACTTAAAATTTCATTGGTGTCAGCAAGCATCGCAGGATCGATGTAATTCGGCATTTCAATAAAATGCTTTTTAAATATATATTTTATTGACCGACCGGAATTATATATATATATATATATATTAAACTTTAACAATTTAACATACTTTATTATATTTTTTAATAAAACTTATATTAGCAAGCGACGACTTGTATAGAAAGAAATATAATTTGTGTAGTGTGTACGTGTAGCGCAGTGCCTAAGCATTTGGCTGCGACCGTATGGTATGGTAGTCCTTGCTGTAAATATTAAGGCTGGGTGTTCCTGTTTTTGTCTATTTTAAAATTGGTTTTGGATAGCCAAATTATTACATTTAGAATCTGAAAAAATGTATATATATATACATATTCTAGATACATTCTTTCTCCTTGCGATGCACCCGGTAAATACACGATACAATACAATTTTCTCCATAGAAAAAATTACCGAACTACGTTTGTAGTTTTTTTACAGACCAAATTTCATTTTAAACAAGTACTAATACTCCTTTTTTTCTACAAAAAATATAAATTTTTAAGTAATTCATTTTGGAATCAATTCCCCCGATCGTACTTTTTCATTAGATTTGTAAAAAAAATTCAATCATTCAATTCAAGTGATTTTCGATCGGCACATCGCTTGCCAGTGTCCCGTAGGACGTTGCCGAGTTAAGAGACCTGCGCCGACAGGAAGCATGACTTTTTCGTTGTGACATAAGACATAACCTAAAATGGTTCAAATCTAAATATCTTTTTTTTGACGCCTTCTCAGGACAACATTCTTTGACAAAGTTATTAAAGGACTGATGCTTAACATTTTAAGATATTTTTGATATATAGACGCTACCATTCCTTCTCAACTAATTTTATGTATGAAAGTCATTATTCTTTTGCGCTCGCAATTTTCTTCTGCTACGTAAATAATATTTAGGATATAAAATAAATTGTAAATAACTATAATTTTATGGAACTTATATAGACTATAATTAAGCTTTTGTTTGTGTGTTTATTTCTCACTGTGTAAAGATTTGTTTATAACTTTAAAACAATATTTATGTGATTATTTTGTAAAAATCACGATCATATGCGCGGCCCGACTCGATCTTTGCGACGACCACTTGTAAATACGTAATGCACTTGGAACACCCAGCCTTAAGTGCTAAATTACTCTACTTCTAATAGCACCAATGAAATTGTTAATTGCTATTTTAAGTGTTGAGTTTCTACTTGCTCAATGTTGAAGAAAAAGATCGTTAGGATACCTGCATGTTTGAGATACAAAAAATATTTCGAAGACGTGTGACGATACGAAGTTCGCGAACACATTTTCTGGCAGCGCGACGGACATTTATTGCTAAAACGTCAAAAATGACAACTTATAGTAGGAGAGCCCATGATGCTAAATGGGGATTTGCTCGAGCGTCGTGGGGACCTATTAGGTTTTGTAGATTAGTAGATAGGAAGAAAAGAAGTTATATAATATTTCCCCTTCCAGTGGTGGGGGAAGTGTCTATAGATTTTCAAAACTTAATAACTACTACAAACTACTACAGATGTTCAAAAAAAATTACAGCGCGTCGCATATTCAAAGGGAATGTTAAGTGAATCGGGTTCACTTCAGTTCACTGAACCCTAATAATGTTCCCATTCAAAAGACTGACGATTCGGAAGTGACGCAGCCTCGTAGCGAATTTTTGAAAATGCGAAAAAAAATCGCCGTATTGAAATACTCGAGCGTGTCAGATTTATTATACAGAAGGTTCAGCTTGAGGTCCCAGTTATGGTAGCTTAAAATCTGACGATTATTGTGAGGGATATTTAATCTGACTGCTAGACATATTTTTTTAATGATTTTTTTTTAATCTCAATAACCATAAAATGTGACTGTGAGAGGGTAGGGATGGCACGACGGTCAGAGATAGGGAGAGAGGCGCGGAGTGGGGTATAAATGCTTTATTCCAGCTGCACGCTCTCATATTCAAAGACAATTTTAGTATTTCGGCTTGTGGAAATCGGCAGATTACGATTTTTTGTTATTTTTGTATTATTTCCTTCAAAATAAAGAAAAATCAACCACACACGATAATGTCAAGACAAGGTTATTTTTCAACTTTGTAACCCTCCCACTCCCTTACGTTACGTTCAAACCGTCAGATTTTCTAAATGCACTCTTTTTAGGTCGTAGGTAACCCACCATACCTTAAACTGACACGCTTGAGTAAATCCAAAAAATCCCCTCTTGGGCTCCCCTACTATTATATAACGTGTAATAAAAACCCTGTGGTCTCCGTTAGGTGCGTTATCAAAACCAGTATTCGAACATATAGAAATAACTTTCAAACATTTAATTTTTTTTTTAAATTTTTGGTTTTATTACTTCTCAAGTGATACGTGCATCGGTAAAGCGGGGTTTCTGAAAAATACACTTATTCCCTGGCCAATGCAGAGATTATATAACCACATACAATTTGCAAATAAAAATATATTTAAATTTAATTAAAAAATCTGATCGAGTTTGCTAAAGTAAAGTTATTTCTATATGTTTGAATACTGATTTTAAATCGCACTTAACGGGAACCACAGGGTTTTTGTTAGATGTTGTATAGGCTGTAAGTTTAATGAAATCTTTTTGTGAAGAAGTGGTGTAAAGTGTAAGGCACCTTCCCCGCTGGTGACGCCGTCCACTTCGGCCAGCAGCTGGCTGACGACGCGGTCGCTGGCGCCGCCCGAGTCCCCGGCGGCGCCGCGGCGAGGCGCCAGCGCGTCCAGCTCGTCCAAGAACACGATACATGGCGACGAAGCGCGCGCCGACTCGAACACTAAAATCAAACCCCTGATTTTTTGTTGGCATGTAAAATTATAGTAATAACAATAATTATTTATAATATTTTATCCCATGTAATGTAAAGTTAACGTAAAAGATGCATTAAAAATCAAAATTAAATCACCTTTTCGGACATTTTCTTCTGACTGACCAATATACATGTTGAGTAACTCTGGCCCCTTCACACTTAGAAAGCTGACATTTAGTTCTGTACTAACAGCTTTCGCTACCAATGTCTTACCACAGCCAGGTGGTCCATACAATAATATACCTTAAACATAATAATAATAATAATTTATTGACACACACATATACGAAATGTGCAAATGTGTGTGATCTTTGACTCCTGTGCTAGGGAAGCATGTGTTACAAGACTCAATGCTTACATGCAATGCATACAATAAGACATTTAAATACTGATAATAATGTTAAAAAGATGAATATATTCATCCATTTACTACAACCTATCAAAAGTCCACAGCCGTAGAGAAAGATAGCAACTGTGATACCAACTAGTCAAGATTAAATATGTAATCTTAAAGTGTATTTTTGTTCTCCATCATAAATTTTTATTATGTAATGTCGTGTCTTAGTATAAAGTGAATACCTGATCGTTTAAGTGTTGAATTTTTAAATAGATGTGGGTACTTGATAGGAAATTCAATAGTTTTTAGGAGTTCCTTCTTAAGCTTATCCAAGCCTCCAATATCATCCCAATATACTTTAGGAATTTTTGGGGCATCCAAATGTTGACTTTGTAGACTTCTGATTGATTCTGTAAAAAAAAAAAAAACATTTGAAAACAAACTGTTCAGTTTTGCATTTTAACAGGCAGACAGTAGAACTAGATATATACAGTTGGCATAATTCCCGCTTGGCAAACTTAACACTTTCACTGTCCGATTTTCAGACACAATAGTAAGACAATAGCAATGATTACATGCAGTAAACGGGAGAGTGAATGGGTAAAATATCAATTGCAGTAATAGATTCTTCACATGTTATATACTATCATATATCTTCATTCTTCATCAGGCCTTTCCTGTGTAGGGAGGATTTTCCTTAATCATCAAATTTGTACCGGAGGATTTACAATTGCTGCATCTATGGGTATATCATATGATGTCAAAAATTTTGCAGTTATTCATCATATCCATCAATCACAGATGGCATAGAAATTCCTTTAAGTTGTTTTACAAGATATTTAGAAGAAAAAAGAGGTGGTAGATATGGGTGTAGCTGGGTCATAACAATTTGAAAGATGGCTTTGATTATAGCAGGAAGTTAATGGACACAAACAATCAAGATCATGAAGCGATTCAAGATGTGTGTTGTGTGGCAATTCTTACGTGAGGCCTTTTGTTCAGCAGTGGATTTGAAAAGGGCTGTCATGATAATGATGATGGTATCAAGGGCAGTATTGATTGTATGTTATTGCTATTGGCAACAACAGATTTATTCTAGTAGTGGATATTCTTACACCGCCACTACACTGTAGATACTGACCACATAAATAAATATGAAATGAAAATTAAAAATCATAGTTTTAGAATAATTATTGTACGATTGCTTTTGGCAGACGCCTGACACTCATAATTAAGTTATTATTATTATTATATATTAACAGCAGGCAGGCAGTTGAGACACTGATAATGCTTGAATCCTATTTTTGTCCACTAGTTACTTTTTGCAGTTCAGAAAGCGATTATCTAATCTATTTATGAATTGGTTCACGTTTTGGGCTGAGACTACGTTCTCTGGCAGCTTATTCCACTCGGTGACTACACCGTTACAAATGAAATGCTTGTGAAGGTTGTTGTTTGAAAAGCTGGTACATAGCTTAAGATAGTGGTCCCTGAGGTGAAAGTTTTCATTACGAATAAACAATTTGTCAAAGAAGATCTTAAAGGTCTCAATTAGATCTTCTCGGTCCCTAATTGTAATATTTCAGTTATAATTGTTGTATATTGTAATATTTCAGTTATAATTGTTGTGTATGTATAATTGTTGTAGTTTGTGAGTATATAGATTACCAGATACTAAGATTACATCTATTATTACCTAATGCTGAATTGAAATCTTCTTCCTGCAAAAGCTGTAAATTAGGATCTTGTGAAAACTGACTGTAGCTATTGTGTTGTTTCAAATATGATTCTCTCATAGCAAAGTGTACAAGTGTATCAAGATCCCCATAGACAAATGTCTCCGTTTTTGATGCAATCTTTTTAAGAACATCCTTTGAATAATTGCTTATAGTTGACAAACTGGACGTGTTGTCTAAGTCTATATTAATTTTATTTGACTTTATTTGCTCATCATTCTCATGTAACTTCAGTTGCATTGTAGCAGCAAACCATTGCAGCATTTCAAACCTTTGCTGCACATTCAGTTTAGGTATGTGGAACTTGTCAAGAAATATCCTCATAACATTTGGTTTTAAATCCAATTGCTCGGTTATTGCAATAAATATTATAGGATGCTTAGTGTAGTTCTCGTATAAATTTGTTATTGAATGAATAAAATATTCTAATACTCTGTGATCTTCATTGTTTTCCGGGTCCACTGCAAACACCTAAAAATTGTATTGAAAGATAAGAAACCTATTATATATATGTGTATTGCACACCTCCATATTGTATAAGAAAATTAATATACTTTAAAAAGCAGGAAGTTCCAATGGCAAACTCAGTACTTCAATAAAACAGTTACAGTAGGGGTTTAAAGTCTAAATTTTTTTTTATATTAATGTAATTTATGACGAAATACTAGAGGTATTGATGAGAGGATGAGGCAATCTATGGGCGAGGCCTATGTTTAGCAGTGCACTTTTAATAAGCTGTAATGAATGAATTAATGAAATATTTTTTTAATTATTATAACCAGTGCTTGACTACACCCCACCTGTGGTAAAGCAGCTTATTTAGATAGTAAATATAAATGTATACTTTTAAAACATATTCATGTTCAATTGTAATTTATTTTTTATCTCTGCCTGGTTTTATTTTCTATCTCTGGTGGTAAGAACTAGGGATGTTACGGAAGTGGTTATATCGGAACCGAATTCGGAAGCGGAGTTTTAATTTTTTTTTGTCAGACCCGGAACCGAAATCGGAACCGGAATCGGAGGTGGAGGCAGAAGAGATGTGTTAAGGGCAGGTCTATTGCACTGTATTTTTCTTTTCAGTTTCAATTTTTTTGAATTCTTCGCATTCAGTGGCATGCACAGACTTTAAATAACTTTGTAACGAAGACTAAGAAGTTGTATTTGTGAACGGCATAGTCGGGAAGGGTCGCCCTAGGCGAAAGTTTATCGACCAAATTGGCGATATATTAAAAATGGGCCAAATCAAGAGTACCTTTAACCGACGAGCGTGTATGCGTAGGTATATGGATGTGGAGGAAGCGAGAGAGGTGTGTCAGGATCGTGCCAAATGGAAGTCCATAATCTCTGCCTACCCCTCTGGGTGACAGGCGTGAGTGTTTATGTTTTTATGTTTATTATGTAACGAAGTAGTCGTACCACCCTTTCGTGAATATATCTTCTCACATAGTTAACACTTTGCCGCATTCTCAGAAACTTCATTGAAATAATTCCAAATGGCACTTGATTTTGGCTTCATTGTCCAATTCAAATAAATTTGTTACACATAAAAAAAAAACTACTAAAATTGATCAAAAACTCGGAGAGGTATAGATGAAGCGCGAAACGCACAACATGCCAATTGCCAAATACGAAACAAAACATCAAGTTAAAGCGTAATCGACAGAAGGCACTGGGTGAGGGAGGTTCCCGGGGCGACAAGTATAAAATTGTTTGTACACGCTGATCGCGGCTGCCGCCACCACTGTCCTTCGACCTCCGATATGACTTCCGATTAAAATTTAACGAAACCGAAATCGGAATCGAAAGTGCAAAATCAATCGGAAGTTCCGAACTTTCGGAATCGGAATCGAACCTCCGTAAGATCTCTAGTAAGAACATCCACTACTACAAGTACTACGAGATTTGTCTGCCAGAAAGAGCCAACTGTTGAACCTGAAGACCGAATGTGGCAACATCGTTTCCAGGACACCTGAGTTTTTGAGGGAGATTGAGAGGTTCTATAGGCAGTTGTACACGTTATCGATGGAGACGCACGCAAGTGTGACTACGATCCAAGAGCAAGTCTTATCCGATTCCGACACTATTCCGATGATATCCTGGACGTCAGTCTGCGCGAGATTAAAATGGCTCTCCAGCACCTTATAAACGGCAAGTCCCCAGGCGAGGGTGGAATTACAGCAAAGTTTCTGAAAGCGGGTGGAAAACCGGTACCTAAAGTCCTACACTTGAGACGTGGAGCAGAAGTGCGGTGGTCTTGTTCTTCAAGAAAGGCGGCAACGCTCTCTTGAAGAACCACAGACCGATTTCCCTTCTGAGCCGCGTCTACGTGCTGTTTTCGAGAGTTATTACGAATCGTCTCGCACGCAGATTCGACGACTTCCAGCCTCCCGAACAAACCGGTTTCCGAAAATGCTTTAGTACCATGGACCACATACACACTCTTCGACAAATTGTACAGAAGACAGAAGAGTATAATCTGCCACTTTGCCTTGTGTATGTGGACTTTGAGAATGCCTTTGATTCCGTCGAAATTTGGGCGGTGCTGCAGTCCCTTCAGCGGTGCCAAGTTGACTGTCGGTATATCGAAGTGCTGAAGTGTTTGTACAGTAGAGCTACGATGGCTATCTGAGTACAGAATCAGAGTACGAAAGCTATCCAACTGCAGAGAGGTGTAAGACAGGGTGACGTTATATCCCCGAAACTCTTCACCGCTGCATTGGAAAACGTTTTCAAGCTACTGGACTGGAAATTTGCCGACGATATAGTCCTTATGGTAGAAACGATGGAGGACTTAAGCACTATAGTGTCTCCCAACGGATAGGGTTTAAGATAAACATGGATAAAACTAAAAATCATGTTTAACATCCATGTCACACCTATGCCGGTAGCTGTTAGGAGCATTAAGCTCGAAATTGTTGACAAATATTTTTACCTGCGACAAATAGTCCGACTAGGTAGGTCCAACTTCGACCGAGAGGTCAATCGACGGATTCAACTCGGCTGGTCAGCGTTCTGGAGATTATGACACACCTTCTCATCAGGCATACACCTCTTAGACCAATGGATCTGAGACAAGGTTCTTCAATGCTGCCCGTATGAGGAAATTCAAAGTTGCTCAGCAAGCTATGGAGAGGGCTATGGCGATTCTCTGCATGATAGACTTAACCGACAGCCGATGGGGAAGGCTCTCGAGTAGCAGCCTTGTACCGACAGGCAAAGTGTAGGACGTCCCCCCACTAGATGGAGTGACGACCTGGTAAGACGTGCAAGAAATCAATGAACGCAGTTGGCTAGGGACGGTGCTTTGTGGCATTCCTTGGGGGAGGCCTATGTTCAACAGTGGACTTGTGAAGAGCTGTAATGATGATGATGATAAAAATTAATTAAATTCAGTAATCAGCAGTATAATGCAAGCCTTTCGCTTAGCCTCAAATCATACAAACTATACTATCATGACTGACAGTACATACTGCACTCCACAGTTGAGGAGAGAGGCCATCGCCTTATGCTCAAAATCACACATTTTTATGTATCACAGAAAAATATTTAAGTATACAAATCCATAGTACATTATAAAAACCTTTTTTTTATAATATAGGGTGACAAACGACCACACAGTCCACCTGAGGGTAAGTGGATGCTGTGGTCCTCAGACATCTACATTTATTCTCAATTAAGAATCAAACTGCAGATGCGTTTTCACCCCTGAGGACTAAGATGGAATGACTCGTTTACAGTAAAAAGAGTCTTCAGTTCTCTATACTCACCACTGACCATACGAAACACAGCAGCATTAAGTTGCTATTTTACGCTGGTATTCTGTGAGAGTGTGGTCCTACCCAGCCGACCCATTCGAGCTACAACCATAATGTGTAGAATGTATGGGTTGGCTCGACCACGTTGTTAAAACTACTAATGTTACTGCTACTAAACTTAAGTATTAACAACACATCTATTTTTAAGTAAGGTAAAAATGTTTATCCTAAGGCTGAAGTTAAGATAAAAATTACCTCGAAATTATCGAGCAAAACAATTGCCGGTGCAGCGGCCTTAGCTTTTTGTATTGTTAAGCTAATTTTACTTTCAGTCTGCTTAGCAGTGGAGCTCTGTAGGGCATTACAGTCAGTTTGGAAACAATTTACTCCTGAAAATTAAAACATATTTAAGGCATACATTAAATAAAAAATATTATTATTATTTTGAATGTAAATATTCTTATGTACATAATATACTAACCATTATATTTTGCTATTGTTTTAACAATCAGATGTTTACCAGAACCCATTGATCCAGTCATTAGAAACATGGGAATAATGGGACTGGACAAAGATGATGATAGCTCATCTGTAATTGATTATTGTTCTTTGAGTTTTTGTTGATGGATAAAAATAGAATGGAATAATATAAATTGCTATTTACTTATTTCTCCAGTCAGAAATGGACTTATCGCCTCTTGTATTTGCTCAAATTTACTTAGTAACCCAGTTGGACATATATGAAAATACTGGCAACACAATTTCTGTGGTTTAAAATATTTACATTTTGGTTTCATGGAATGTATATTCTCGCCTAAAGTTAACTGAGTAACACCTTTAACAATATAAAAAGCTTTTATCACATTGGTCACAGACTTTGAAGATTGATTAGAAGAAACCGAGTCCAAATCACCACAAATCTTGTTACATTTGAAATGCAGCATCCCCAATGATTCCACTAAATCTAAATATTTATAATGATACTTAGTAGTTATTTGAGGATTCAAGTTTATAGCAATTATATCATTTTCACTAACTAACTTTGGTACTTCAAAATGGTTGCTGAGAACCTCCTTAATAAAATCATTTGATAAATCAAAATCATTTACAATGACGCTCACTTCAGCTACTGCTGCTATTTTCGGAGAGTATTCAAAAGCAGGGACTGGATGGAATGAAATTTCTATATTATCAACATTGCTTATGCCAATAGATGAGATAATATTATAAAATTCATTCTCGCTTACTAATGCATTATTGTTATGTATTTGTGAAGAGCCAACAACAGGAACTATTCTTGTATTAGCATAATTCACTGTGGTACAGTCTTTCCATAACTTTTTGTGTATTTCTGATGTCTTCATACAAAGATTGTACTTATAAAGGTTGTCAGAGTTATCATTAACTTTCCTAACTTCATAATTCTTTTTTTCTTCTGGGGTGAGTTTTAATGCCACCCACAAAATTTCATTATCTCTATAAAATATATTTTCAACACTAAGTTGTATAAAATTTGCTTGTGAGATAAAAATACATTTGTGTTGATTAACACATAAATAATTATTTTTCGACTGCTCTTTTGAAAGAAACTGCGGAATGTAAGAAGGTATTGTTTTCAATAAAAATTTATTCATTCTTTCCTGAGTTCCAATGCGTTTGAAGAAGTAATAATTGGATTTAATTATCAGGTAAACAAGGAAGATGTATGGGTTGAACTTTGGATAAATTACTTTTATGCAAAATTTTATCACCCATAATTTCAAAGTAATCTGTTCTTTCATAATATTTAATGTATAAACGATACTTTTCTTATTTCAAGTTTAGTTTCAATTTAAGATTTTTAAAAAAGTACAATTGTAAACTATGGTGGGAATTTGATTTTGATTTTTTTTATTTGATTTGTAGATTTGACAATAATTGACACTTTTTGCTGTCATTACACAATATATATTATTTGGCTTGGATGCTTGTCTTTTTAGCCATGTCTTTACTTATCTCAGTATCACGTGACAATAATCCTTTATAGTACACTGTTTCACAATAATATGTTGACGTTACATTATGACGGCAACTTGAGCCAGCAGACAGTTGGCCTAAGCAGACAACTTATGACATCTTATCTTGAGATTTACTTCACCATCGGAGCACTTGTTTCACCGTTTCTACTAATAGTTTACATACGCAGACATTTAATACACAAAATCGCGCCACTTTAACGTATCAAAATCCACTTAAAACCATTATATAAACAATAATACAGGAGCAGTAAAACGCCACCAGTCAAGGTTTAGCCAAAAAAATAAAAAGATACATGAGAATGAGAAGCTTCTTACTCGTAATGACATAGAATCCAAATACTATTGTTAGGTCCTTACATATGAAATTAGCGTTTTGTCGTACTGACCACTTTGATCTGAAATATCTCTTCTTTGGTTAAGAATTCCAAATTCAAATTTATAAATTCATTTAGCTGGTACACTTGAGTTTTGAAAACAGACATTCATTTGTTTTTTCCTCATTATTTTTATTCTTTGGCGTCGCTTATTACCGCACAATGGGAAACATGAAATATCGGAATATTAACGAGTACGAGTTCTACCGTGGCACCAGGTCTGCAGAAACAGCTCGAAGGATTAATGATGTGTACGGCGCTGGTGTCGCAAAAGAAAGCTCGGTACGTTTTTGGTTTCTACGTTTTCGTTTTGGAAATTTCGACCTTCAGAACCAACCCCGTAGACGGCCGGAGACCAAAGTGGAAAATGAAGAATTAAAGGCTATTGTGGAAGCAGATCCATCACAAAGCACTTCAGAGATGGCTGCAGGCTTCGGGGTAAGTGATAAAACTGAACAGATGGGTACCTCATGAATTGAGTGAATCGAACTTGCAAACATGCGTCGACTGCTGTGTTACTTCGCTCAACCGACACAATAATGAAGGGATTTTAAATCGAATTATTACTTGTGATGAAAAGTGGATACTGTACGATAATCGGAAGCGCTCGTCGCAATGGCTGAGACCCAGCCAAATCCTGCCCTAAACGAAAATTGACTCAGAAAAGTTACTTGTGAGTGTTTGATGGACTAGCACCGGTGTCATTCATTACAGCTTTCTAAAATCTGGGCAAACGATTACGGCAGATACCTATTATCAGCAACTGCAAACCATGAAGGAAGAACTAGCTGCTAAACAACTGAGATTGGTTAATTGCTCTAGGCCACTGCTGCTTCATGACAACGCAAGACCCACACTGCACAACAAACAATCACTAAGTTAGATGAGCTACAATTGGAATATCTGCGACATCCACCGTACTCCCCGGACCTTGCTCCAACAGATTACCATTTTTTCCGGAATTTGGACAACTTCTTACAAGGAAAAAATTCAACTCCGATGCGGCAGTCCAAACCGCCTTCAAAGAGTTTATTGATTCTCGCCTCCATGGCTTTTTTCGTAAAGAGATCAATGAACTACCTATGAGATGGCAAAAGTGCACAGATAACAACGGTGCATACTTTGATTAATTAAATATATTTTACAAAAAAAAATTGACTTTATATTCCTCCCGTACAAAACGCCAATTTCATAAGGACCTAATATATTACTCATGGCGGAGGTCGTAATCAAAGAGCATATAATCATTAGGAATATAGATTGAAAGTTGTAGTAACGTACATAATTTAAAATTAAAAATTTGGTACAACAGACTTCGATATAAACTATTAAGAACAGCTCAAAAACTATTGGTCAGACCTTGATCAAATTTATTTGGGACGACATGACCATGACCAGCTGAATCACCAGCTTTCAAATAAAAAAAATAATCATCGAAATCGGTTCACCCAGAAAAAAGTTATGAGGTAACACATAAAAAACATACACTCAAATTGAGTACCTCCTACTTTTTGAAGTCGGTAGAAAAAGCATAAAATCAGGGCACTTGACCATGTCCAATTGTATAACAGAATCATTTATTTACCTATCATTCAAACATATACAATATTTATTACCATTTAAAAAAAACCAGAAGCTTAAATTATCATACAGTCTTATTTCCTGTGATAGAGTTACAAGAACCACATACTAATAAGAAGTAATAGCGCAGAAACGAACACTGGCTGCGTTTTTCGCTGAATTCTATAGACTATAATTCTATAGAATATAATTAGCTTATTCTATGATAAATCTGTAATGATCTTAGAATATACTGGCGTAATATTGAAATAACTGTCTAGCTGCACGGGTTAATTACATAAAATAATATATTTTTTTTATAAAAATCTGACTAACGATTGTTATGAAACTTCACGAATAAATAGAGAGCAATGTTAGGAGGGATCTAAGTTACATTTTATCTGAAAAAATTAAAGGTTTTTTTTTTTACAAAACGAACAACTGATAAAATAATCGATCTCATCCAGGCGAAACCGGGGCTGGTCGCTAGTAAACAATATGATCACTACGTTTAGGGATACCATTCAAAGAGTATGTACCTCATAGATTACTGATGTACCTACCTAATGGGCAAAGAAAGTGTATGAAGTGATTTATGTCAATTTATATACTTTTTGAAAGGAAATAAAAATATAAAACAAGTTTGACAATAAAGCAATAAATAGTAAAATAAAATTGTAACTTAATTCATAGTAATTTTAAGGCACAGACAGAAGTTCTATAACACATAAGCACAAATAGTATATAATATATATATAATATCATAAAAATAATAAAAAAATATAATATAGGAGTCATGTATTTAACGTGGGCTTCTTTTAACAATTTAAGAATGCTTTTAATGGCTTGTATGCCAATCGTGATATTTTATTTGATATGGTTAGTGAATACGTCAGAAGGGATACGAAGTGAAGAAGGCACTCTTTTGGATTTAATATGCTGGCCAGACGGTAACGCAATTCCTGTTATTATTGCATGTGGTTCCATAGTTGCTGTAGTAATTGAGGTATGTAATCATGAAAATATTTCTGCTTTCTTGTCTGTATGGATGGATATGTTTTTTTTTTTAATAAAATTGAAGTGACAAGCTATCTAATATTTAACCTAGTCAATGGTAAGTGGCTACTGCAGCCCATGGACATCTGCAAACAACTTTAAGCAAAGAAGGTTACAGATTCGTTACCACTACTAAGAACTAGGATGGAATGCATCGCAGCCTGTGTATGTCTTATAATGTCAAAATAGTTCATCGAGCAGTGAAAAGGAGTGTCTTGTATAATCATGAACTTATAATTGTGAAGATGGATTGACGAGTCGGGGTTGTTTCTCTGAGTTTCGCCATCATTGTTTGAAATTCTTCACAATAGACATCTGCTGTTATTGATTCATTTATTACTTTTTATAGCTGAGTTTTGATTTAGGACAATGTTCCAGTATTTGACTTGAGGTCAGCTACTGCTTTTTTCGCTTACGTTATCGTTGAGTATCAACTTTTTATCATATGTCATAATTGTGATCGAAATCCCTTTATTTCAGTACCTACGAGTCCTCAATGCAAAGCAAGGGTTCACATCAAACAATTCATGAGGCATCCATTTCTCGATTTTTTTTTAATTTTACCAACTTGATGCAAATGTTATGTGATTGATCAATGTTATGGGTAAACTTCAAACTGTCATGCAAATTCTTTGTTTGATATGGATTGGCAACCATAACTTTTAATTCAGCGTTATTTAGCTTAGAGTGGCCTTCCTCATGAAACATTCTTCAAGTTGAAGTTTCCAATACGAAAGCAATTAAACTAAAACCACACAGTGTGTTCATTAGTCTTTATTGGCTCTCTTATGTTTCAAGGCAGAAAACAGCAGTCGGTGCACTACTTCTTGGCAGTAGATTTCTGTAGGAGCTACGTATTACTCAGACGGATTCCAAGTATGAGCTCTAGTTCAGCTATTTTATTGTGATTACTAGAATTTATTGGGTCTGACGTACCCTGAAGGTTAAATAGACTCTAAACTAAAGTCTAGGGCCGCCCGGTATTTCGACAAATCCGGGAAGGTGTTTCGCTCTTGTCTGATCTGTCCCGTGTACATGTTTATATTATTTTTCATGGATTGATTATGAAGAGCGTTTAGGAGCTATTAGAAATTTTAAAATTGGTCCAAGGTACAAATGAGCACACAGTCCACCTGATGGTAAGTGGTTGCTGTGATTCAATAAAGAATCAAAATGCAGATGCGTTGTCACCCGTGAGGACTAAGATGGAATGCCTCTTTTCCAGTAAAAAGGGTCTGTGGTTCTCTACACTCACCATACGAAAGATAGCAGTATTAAGCTGCTATTTTACGCTGGTATTCTGTGAGAGTGTGGTCCTTCTTCGGTCAAGCCGATCCATTCGTGCTACAATTACACTGCTAATATAGCTGCAGCATGGCTCTACCACGTATATGAACTTTGTGCTAGCCGGCACAGCTACTTCATCCTAACGTATCACCAATCTTATCGCATAACATTGATCAATATATAGGTTTTGTGTTGTTGAGGAAGTGCTTCAGATATTACTAACTATTGAAAGCAAATACTGAAAGAACTGATTACATAAAATTTACTGTTTATGATGTATTATATCTTCCAGCTTTACGGTCTATATCAGTTATTTAAAGCGGGTCTACCGAAAAGAGAACACAATGTCACCAACGGCCTGTTTTACTACATTTGGGGATTGATTATCATGATAATTATTTTCCTTGCAATTATGTTTTATTCAGGATTGCAATCGACAATAATTCGAGGTAATTATTATACTCATGGTACATATATTTCGTTTTTCTAGGTATGCAAGAGATTATTTGCTAATAGGCAGTTAAATAAAATATGTCAAAAGTATGTCAATCAAAGTCGTACACAAGACCCGCAGCGACAAGGCCACAGCAAAATTTAAGCACGACACACGGTCAGTTGAACTGAGGTACATCAAAAAACTGAACGTGAAAGTGTAATCTTAAGTTAAAATTTTTAATTGACGGCAGCCCACGGAGTTTTCCGGGCGCACGATCAGATAAACTGACCAGTTGAACTGACGTACATACATCCAAAAACTTACCGTGAGTGTGAAATTTGAATTTGAAAGTTGATATTTGAAGCCAGTGAGTGGGGAAATCATTTTGGTTTACATTTGTTTTAACTGACCGTGTGTGTCGAGCATTATTCTGCATGTTTCATTCATTACAGCCTATCAAAAAAACCACTGCTGACATAAGCCTCCTCCAAAGATTGCCTCAAAAGACCACCCATCTTTGCTATAACTGTCACGCTTGGTAGTCCTATTGGTCATTGCAATATTGGTTTTTATTTCCATTTGTTATCAGAAAGATGCTGCTGTCCATTCCTTAGTTTCCTCTCAGTTGCCTTTTACGACACCAGCGGGAAAATATCGGGAAGTGGAATCTCTTACGCCTCACCGGGATAATATCAGGTAGTGGATTCTCTTACTATACGGCGATTACATGGCGATACGGATTCTCCACGTATTCATAAATTATTATACGACTCCACCGGGCTAAAATCAGGTAGTGGATTCTCTGTCTATACGGCGATTACACGGCGTTACGGATTCTGCACGTATTCATATATTATTATACGACACCACCGGGATAATATCAGGTAGTGGATTCCCTTACTATACGTAAAGTATATGTAATCGCCACAAGGCGATACGGATTCTGCACGTATTCATATTTTATTCAAATTAGATCAGGTGTACTTCGGATCTTGACCCTCATTTTAATCAGAGCACATTTCCTATTAGTTGTATTAGTACTGTAATTAGTCAAGTCGGCCGAAGAGCCAAACTATTAAGATAGTGAATATTTAAAGAAATGATTGGAAAAATGGATATTCATCTTATCAAGATAATTGATAGAATCAGGCGTTACTTTGCGGAAATCCATTATAATGGGATTGTTATAAACTAATTTGCTGAATTCCGCGTAAAGAAAGAAAATGATGTGTCCTGCCCAGTTTTAAGGGGTCCTCCCACCCTCCATCAATCGCGCGCACTATACCCGTCGCCGTTAATCCCAGCACTACCACCCCCAGCACCACCACACTAGGCACGACACACCACTCTCGAAAATACGACACGTGTTTCGCCTCTACACGAGGCATCCTCAGGTGAAATAGACTCTGCGGAGGCTGGTGGTTAAGTGACTTAGTGAGTGGCTTTTTCTTTCTTTACGCGGAATTAAGCAAATTAGTTTATAACAACCCCATTCATCTTATCATTAAAAATTATATTAAAGCAATAAAGAATACCAAAATCGGTGACAGTGAACAGGTCAAAAGTGCGAAACGTCTCGTCTCCAATCCTCAATCCGCTTGTCTAGTGAGACCATTAAGGAAAATTCTCGTTACAATGGGAGAGGTTCTTGACCCGCATTCGTTTTTTACGGGCAGATAAAGGAGAAGAATACCATGAAAACAGTGAACAAACACTTATATTTATAGGGGTTTGATACTGCAATGTGTTGCCACAACGATCTTATGGCTCCTCTCTCCGATACATGGCGGTATAATCGCCTCTTTATGCTAAAACACGACGGGAAGCAGTGTGAAAAGTGTTAAACTGCACTGCGATCGTCAATTCGTCTGCTGAGTGACAGGAACGTTGGGAAGACTGTAATAATACGAATAATATCTGAACCACTTCCTCAACAAAACACAACCTATCTATTGATCAATGTTATGCGATAACATTGGTGATACGTTAGGATAAAGTAGCTGTGCCGGCTAGCTAGGGGCTCCCCAGTGCCAGCTCCTTCCACTTGACCGCATGCAGTGTAGAGCGGCTCGAATCGTCGACGACCGAGCCCTTTCCGATCGGCTCGATTCATTGGCACTGCGAAGAGATGTTGCATCCCTTTGCATTTTCTATCGCATCTACCATGGGGAGTGCTCTGAGGAATTGTTCGGATTAATCCCAGCCGCCAAATTTCACGAACGCACATCGCGGCAGAACTCCCGATGCCATCCACACCATCTGGATGATTGGCGGTCCACCACTGTGCGATTTAGAAGATGTTTTCTTCCTCGCACGACTTCCTTGTGGAATCGATTACCATCAGCGATTTTTCCGGACCGATACGACTTAGGGACCTTCAAGAAAAGAGCCTACTCTTTTTAAAAAGGCCGGGCAACGCATCTGCAATTCCCCTGGTTCCCCTGGTGTTGCAGTTGTTCATGGGCGGCGGTAGTCACTTACCATCAGGTGAGCCGCATGCTCGTTTGCCCCTCTCTTATAAAAAAAAAGAAAAACTACAGCCGAAAAATAACAGTAAGTGTATGCACAAATCTTGTTTTCTGCCGACTTCCAAAAAGGAGACGGTACTCAATTCGACGCGTATGTTTATTTTTTATGTGTGTTACCTCATAACTTTTTACTGGGTGGATCGATTTCGATGATTTTTTTATATGAAAGCTGATACTTCTCGTGTGGTCCCATATGGATTTGATCAAGGTCAGACCAATAGTTTTTGAGTTATTTGAGTTATTCTTAATAATTTATATTGAAGTCGGCTGTAGAAAATTTTTAATTTTAAATTATACTTTATCCACCCACAAAAATCCACTATTAGACATGTACATTTTCCGTTGTAAAATAATACGATTGCCAGGCGGATTAGCTATTGCAGTACTAGACGTCTCGAACTTTTGACACTGCACCACAGATCATAAAAACAAGATGCTTTCTGTCGCTGGTCTAAGTACTTATTAACGTCTGTCATAAAATAATGGTTCTGTGTGAACGAGACAGGAAAGGAATATCTGACTTCGAACCCAGGCACCGTGAAGTCAGGCGTACTCTAGCCATTAAACAAGTGGTTTAGATAGTAAGTTATATAGTATGACTAGCTGGTCAGGCAGACGTTGTTCTGCCCTTTTCGACGACCCTTCATATAAAAAATCCTTAAATTCGTAATAACAAAATATTGACTATCACTTATCGGGATAAAAACTATCCTATCTCTCAAGTTGGACCAAACTGCACACAGTGTGCAAAATTTCATTGAAATCAGTTCAGTAGTTTAGGAGTTCATCGCGGACAAACAACGTGACACGTAATTTTTATATATAAAGATGTGTAACAGCTTTGTACTGTTCAATTTCATAACGCCGTTAGCGTCCATTATGACATATTATAGGATGTATGTATGTATCTATGTAGGAGATTTTTTTATAGGAGAGGGGGCAAACGAGCATGCGGCTCACCTGATGGTAAGTGACTACCGCCGCCCATGAACAACTGCAACACCAGGGGAATCGCAGATGCGTTGCCGGCCTTTTAAAAAGGAGTACGCTCTTTTCTTGAAGGTCCCTAAGTCGTATCGGTCCGGAAAAATCGCTGATGGTAATCGATTCCACAAGGAGGTCGTGCGAGGAAGAAAACATCTTCTAAATCGCACAGTGGTGGACCGCCAATCATCCAGATGGTGTGGATGGTATCGGGAGTTCTGCCGCGATGTGCGTTCGTGAAATTTGGCGGCTGGGATTAATCCGAACAATTCCTCAGAGCACTCCCCATGGTAGATGCGAAAGAAAATGCAAAGGGATGCAACATCTCTTCGCAGTGCCAATGAATCGAGCCGATCGGAAAGGGCTCGGTCGTCGACAATTCGAGCCGCTCTGCGTTGGATGCGGTCAAGTGGAAGGAGCTGGCACTGGGGAGCCCCTGCCCAGAGATGGGAACAGTATTACATGTGAGGCCGAACTTGCGCCTTGTAAAGTAGCAGGCGGTGTGCCGGCATGAAATACTGTCCCGCTCTGCTGAACACGCCAAGAATTTTAGAGGCCAATTTGGCCTTCCCTTCCAAGTGACCACGAAACTGCACGTCACTTGATATGTCGACTCCGAGGATACCGATACTGGCTGAGGCAAGAAGGGGAGTGCCTTGAAACTGAGGAGATACGACAAAGGGGTTCTTTTTAGCGGTAAACGCGCAAACTTGATTAAATTGGACTAGATTTAGTCGCCCCCAATCCGAGACTTTGTTCAGCAAAGACTCGACTTCAGACACAAGTTTGTTCCGGTACTCAGCGACGTTTTCCCGAGAAATATTGGCACGGCCGGTGTATAGAGCATCACCAGTGCTGTCATCCGCATAGCAATGAATGTTACCAGTTAGCAACATATCATTGATATGCAGAAGAAACAGCGTTGGTGATAGCACACAGCCTTGTGGAACACCAGCGTTAATAGGCTTGTAGTCAGAGCATGCACCGTCTACAACGACCTTGATGCTCCGATCTGCAAGGAAGCTGGTGATCCAATTGCACAATTTCTCGGGAAGCCCATAGGAAGGGAGCTTCGAAAGAAGCGCTTTGTGCCAAACCCGATCAAAGGCCTTCGCAATGTCCAGACTAACGGCCAACGCCTCCCCCTTGGACTCTACTGCCTCCGCCCATCTATGGGTCAGGTAGACCAGAAGATCACCAGCTGATCGACACCGACGAAAACCGTATTGGCGGTCACTAATCAGCTGGTGATCCTCAAGGTACCGGATGAGCTGGCAGTTAATAATGGATTCCATTATTTTGGAGAACAAGGAGGTGATCGCGATAGGCCTATAGTTGGATGGGTCTGAGCGGTCGCCTTTTTTAGGGATCGGGTGGACAAAAGCTGTCTTCCATGAATTCGGGACTACGCCTTGGGAGTAGGAGTACCGGAAAAGACGCGTTAGCACCGGTGCCAACTCCGGAGCACACGTCCTCAGCACAATTGGGGGGATTCCGTCAGGCCCACTCGACTTCTGGATGTCCGGGGAGAGCAGTGCTTTGCGAACCGAGCGCTGTGAGAACAGCACATCCGGCATGGAGCACTCACACCGCGGGATGGTCGGCGGTGTTTTCCCCCCGTCATCAAGAGTCAAGTTGGACGCAAAAAGGGAGCCTAAAAGGTCGGCTTTGTCTTTTGCGTCATGGGCCAGTGAGTCATCCTCCCTGTGCAGAGATGGTAGTGATGGCTTACAGAAATTCCCTTGGACAGCCTTGGCGAGAGACCAGAATGCACGGGTTCCCGAAGGAAGGCGAACTAGTTTCTCGCCAATTCTGCCTATGTGCTCTGAGTTTGCCTTGGCAATAACTCTTTTGAAGGACCTGGAGGCGAAGTTATACTTCTTTTTAAGTGTGCTGGTATTTACATCCCGAGTCGCCGAAGCTGCAGCCCAGGCTTGATAACACTCCTGCTTACTGCGTAATGCAGTCTTACAGGAGCGACCAAACCAAGGCTGAGATCTGCCTCCGATGGGTACCACAGATGATGGAATAAATAGTTCCATTCCCTGTAGCACCACATCAGTGACAGAGTCAGCAACAGCGCTGGGATCATCCGGCGAGAAGCAAACCCGCCCCCATGGGTAGGATGCAAAGAAGGACCGCATTCCGTCCCAATCCGCCGACCTGTAATGCCAAACACGGCGGCAACCTGCAGAACGCAACCGCGAAGGGAGCGTGAGTGGCACCACACTCCGGATCAGACAATGGTCCGAAGAGCCGAGAGGGGCATCGACGGAAACCTGATATCCGTCCGGATGAGAGGTCAGCAGAAGGTCCAACAGGGAAGGTGTATGATCCTCCACATCTGGAATCCGCGTAGGCGAAGTAACCAGTTGTGTCAGACCATATGCCAAGGCAAAGTCATAAACAGATCTCCCTGCATGATCGGTTCGACGTGAACCGAGCCATTCGGCATGGTGGGCGTTAAAATCGCCAAGGATCACGATCTCTGCGGATGGGACCTGTTGTAGCAAGAAATCTGTAGCCATTTGGACGTGGTCGATGAGTCGGTCTGTTTCGGCATTACCGCTATGGGACCTATAGAGGCACCCGTAGACGCGCGGATGGTCGTCGCTGTCTACGCGTAGCCAAAGGATGGACAGGTCCGAACCTTCAAGACTGCCGAGGCGTCGAGAACAGATGTCCTCTCTGACATACACGCAAACTCCAGCCCGAGGCACAAAGGAATGCTCCAATTTGTACCCCGGGTAGGAGAGATACGAAATATCAGCCGGAGAGGAAACCTGCGTCTCGGTCAGAAAGAGCAAGGCCGGCTTCGCCGTCTCGAGATGGTAGTGGACGGCGTTTAGGTTAGAGTGAAGTCCCCTGATGTTGCAGAAATTCACGGATAGCGTGGCAGGGGTCGCCTTGGTGTGCTTGCTCAGTTTGCCCCTAGCAGTAATGCTTTTGAGCGGAATTTTGCCCCCCCCCCCCAGAATACGCGGGGCAGCCTGAGCACCCACGCTCAGGATCGGAATAACATGGTCGTGGATGCTCAGTGGTGCTGGTACCCTCCTGGGGTAGTTCTTCGTGTAATTTCGCTACCATGTTAATGGGGGGGGGGGGGGGGGGGGGAATTGGGCCTCCGGCCACCTGCACTCACCAGACGAAACGCAGAAGCAAAGCTTCTACTTCACGCCGGTATTCTGTGAGGTCGTGGTACCAACCCGGCTCGAGCCGGCCCATACATGCAACAGTAAAAACTGCTGCGTGGCTCTACCACCGTTAAACGTTACAGGTATTCAGTTTTCTGCTCCTGAGTTGCTGAGTGTTGTATGTGCTTAACAATTTACAACGTTAGCCCACCGTCATTCAATTCTCTTTCGCTACCTGGCCTTTTGTTTTTTTTTGATTTGGAAATTCTCTTTTTTTATACGGAATAAAGTTATTATAGTAAAGTAATTTGCTTAAACAATCTAGTGGCGGTGTAAGAATCCAAAAAAAAAAAACTGTAGTTACTAACCCGCCTGCCAAATATTTCAAATATGACAAATATCCCCCATATGATCATTTTTGATAAGCTGTAAGTAATGATTATAATGATGAATTTGCTTACAATGGCTCACTGCTTGTCACATACCTCTTTACTGAATGAGTCTTCGCGGGCAAGGAAGAGACACGCGGATCGCTGCGAACGTGTTGGCGGAATTCAAAGTATATGTACCCGAAATATTTTTTTAATATCTCAGACATGCAGGTTTCTTAACGATGTGTAGCAGCATTGAAATTTCAGTTAACAATTTCGTCGATGCCGGCGGCATCGAATTTTCTTTGGTTAAGTACTTGAAGTTTAAGGATAAGTGCTTATCTACTGAGCTATACCGGGCTTAAAGTTATTGTAAATCACCTTAATTAAAATATAAAAACGAAATTAGAAAGTAGGCATAATTGTATGCGTACTTATTAATTTTTCTGTAATATTTCCTTTTTGTTTAGCCAAAATAAAAGGTGGGATCACTAAAGCGATGCTAAGATATGCCAGCCATTTGCCATCCAAAGTAGCAATCGATAGATTGCAGACGAGGTTCCGTTGCTGCGGGCGCGTTGACTACCAAGAATGGTTTTATATACCTTGGTTCAACACTGGTAACAGCGTAGCCACTGATGCTGTGTAAGCAAAATCTTTTTAATTTTAAAATATAATATATACATACTTTTTTATTTTTTACCACTTTATCTATGCATAGTGTTTTTATATTCATTAATTGATTAAAGACAAACGCCCAGATCTAGAAAATATTTTGGTGGTTTATGGTATAGAATCGAAATCTTGAACTGCAGCGTTGCATCTGAAAATTGATGTCTCCGTCACCCTCATTTCATATGTCATCGCACTTCCTACTATCCCACTATATATATATATATATATATATATACACAACTCCTAAACTACTGAACTAATTTCAATGAAATTTCGCACACTGTGTGCAGTTTTTATCCCGATAAGTGACCCTTAACATATATTTTTTTTATACGATAAGGGTGACAAACGAGCACACAGTCCCCCTGATGGTAAGTGGTTGCTGCGGCCCATAGACATCTACATCTATCCTCTATTACAAATCAAAATGCAGATGCGTTGTCACCCGTGAGGACTAAGATGGAATGCCTCGTTTCCAGTTAAAAGGGTCTCCGGCCACCTGCACTCACCAAGCGAAACGCAGAGGTAAACCTCTACTTCACGCTGGTATTCTGTGATGTCGTGGTACCAACCTGGTTCGAGCCGGCCCATCCGTGCTACAGCAAAAGCTGCCGCGTGGCTCTGCCACTGTTCAATATATATATACTAGCTGACCAGACAGACGTTGTTCTGCCCTTTCCTGTGAACCCTTTCTTCAATAAAAAAATCCTTAAATTCCTAAATGTTAAGGGTCACTTATCGGGATAAAAACTGCACACAGTGTGCGAAATTTCATTGAAATTAGTTCAGTACTTTAGGAGTTCATCGCGGACATTATATAAAGATATAATATTATAAACGTGAAACTTTGTGAGGATGTATGGATGCTTGTTACTCTTCGACGCAAAAACTACTGAATGTATTTTAATGAAAGTTTACAATAACATATCTCATACATCAGAACAACACATAGGCTATAATTAATAAAGATATTGTGTTAATTGGTCAAAACATAAATAAGCGTTAAGTAAATCTGAAAAAAATCTGTCATCTGCGAGCTATTATGGTGTGCGGTGCAAAAAACTGTAAAGTATAATTGGTTTAAAGTATAATATCTACGCGGACGAAGTCACGGGCAAAAGCTAGTTTTTTATATTTAAAATTATGATTAGCCAATTGAAATAAAATAAAAAAACAACCTTAAGGGGTTAAGTCTTCTATATATGTCTCTATTTACAGATCAAATAGTAAGTTCGTCGCGGACAACGTTCCTTACAGCTGCTGTTCTAAAGATGTTCTCTCACCCTGTATACATCATGGCATCACACAAGTCGGGCTTATCTATAAATACGACCCAACAGTGCGTTGAACGTAATTAACTTAAATGAGTTACTATGCTAATTAGGGAAAATAATAAAACAGACTTGAAAAGAAAATTAAACAATATCTACGCATTGATCATAGTGATGAACCTAGTGAGAATATGAGATCAGTCATGGTATTGTCATTGTTTCTTAAAACGTCTGTAAAATTTTAGATTATTCAGACGTTTGGAAATCTATTGCATTCATTTATATATAGATACACAGCACACTGGAAGTCTATTTTATGTACCCCGATCTACCCCGGCTTTGAACGGGTGATTTCTGAATCTCGACGACAGTGCCACCTACCGGATCCAAATGTAAGTCTAAACCATCTAGGGACCCATTCCAACATACACAAAAAATTTTCATCAAAATCGGTCGAGCCGTTTTTGAGTTTTAGGAAGACGAACGGACAGCAAGTGATTTTTATATATGTATAGAAGATGTTGGCAAAGCATCCGCAACAACTGTTCCGTAATTTGCTAACCTAACTACTGACTGTAAACTTTAAAGTAAGCCCAAAGAGTAAGTATATAATTAATCACTACTTAGTAAGCCGAACAAATCAAAAAGCGAAGTAAAATGCGATTAGCGAGGAAGACAAAACGTTTATTGAAAATGTACTTAAATTGCGACGAACCTCGACAGTCTTTTTAAAAACACAATTTAAAGTATAAAATGATTTAATGTTCTTTCAAAGTTGGTTAGTTACAGAATGAATCCATATTAAATGTTAAAAAATAAGTCTAGTACAATTATCATATCGTCTTACATTACTTTAGAATTATCACTCGAGTTCTCACGCATGTGCTGATGTGGCTGTTTGGAATATCGAGCCAGGGACGGATTGAGGCGATATAACTCCTCCCTCCACAAGTTCGGGATTATCCTCGGGATTATCACGAATTTTACAGATTTTACAGATTTCAATTAATTTATGTTTAAAAATAATACTTAAAATAATTAATATAATAACTAAAATAATGATATTGACTAAACTAACACTTTTATTAGTAATTTCTCTTTTTGCATTTTCACTTAACTCACTGTCACTAACTTCTCCAATTCTTTTCTGCAGTAATAGATTCAGGAACTGTACGTCTGCTATATTAATTCCATCGAGATTCACAGGCTTCTTCAGAGTGCTTGAGGGGTTGAGTATCTTTGGTAAGTTTATTAATGACTGTCTTAGGTAGGTTATTTCTTTACCTTGAGTCTGATGTCTTTTCAGTTCGTATCCTTTGATTTTCACCTTGCAGTTATCATCCATAGTTAAGAGGTAGGTTCCTAATAGAATCTCTTGGCTTACTTCATTGTCGCAGAATTTAGTCATAGCTGTTTCAGTATTTGAGTAAACTATCCAGCGATTTGGTTGTATGAGGTAGATCTTCACATTTTCTAGGGTGACAGGGATCGGGTGACAACTTGAGATATTTGTGTGAAACTGTATGATTTCTACGACACAGTTGTCATTGGTGAAGAGTTGTATGTCGTTCTCATGACACAGGAATCGGCGTTCGTCGACCTCGCGACATGACTGAGAGAGCGGTGTTGCTTTCAACCCTTTCACAAGTAGGTACGGATTTTTAGGTAGGATGAGAGTCGTCTGGCCATTATGTAATACAGGTAAGGGAACTAATTTATAATAGTTAAAAATTTCATTTCTAATAAGTGGAATACTCATAATAAACTTTATCTGATTCTGTTTAATATAGGCTTTTATCTCGATACATCTTTCTAATTTTACAATATTTTCATAAGTGACAGGAAACACTAATTTGTCAGTTTGTTCTATTTCCTTAAGCAATATTATAAGTTCTTCTGTATCAATTATTGACTGGTGTAGTACATTAATTTTACTAAAAGCAATGGCTGTTTCGATTTCACTCAAATGGAAATATAAATTATGAAAATTATCAAGGAAGATATTATAAAGATGAATGAGTTTGGTAATCGTCTGTCGAAAATCGGAGTTGTTTAAAGCTTGATTAATGTTTTGAATATTATCTTCTAATCGTATAAAATTGCTTTTAGTAGAATTTGCCATGACTGTAAATGAGCCCACCATTTCGGAAACTATTGTCATTTTATTTTTAATCACGTTTTGTTCCGTATGTAGCTTACTTATTAATCTTTCATATCTAAGAGCGTCATTATTATCTAAGTTACCTGTGATGGCTTTTATCAAAGAGCCTACCGGATCGAGGAGACCTCTTTTGGTTCGTAATGGAGGTATTAATTGTTTAAATTTGTCGATGGTAATATTCATAGTATAATCGGTTTGGTATTGGACGGTAGTAAAATCTGAATCAAATGATTTAGTATCGAAACAACTTTGAACATGCTTTTTAAGTAACCCATATTTATTCATACTTGATTCTAATTCATCGTAAATTAAATTTAAATCTAATATCTTAATAACTATCCAGTTATCATAATTAACAAATGCTTGACCTTCGTCAACAGGTAACAATCCCGGATTCTTGTCAATGCGAAGCTGATGAAGGGCCTGGCTTCCCATTGTTCGGATCACCAGTAGAAATAATCTGCGAAGGACGTTTTATGTCTTTAATAGGAACATTAGTAATACGTTTATTGGTTTCAACGGGAACTACATTTCTTTTTATAGCACCGGTGGTATGAGCCTTTTGGTAACGTGGTTTATCTTTGCCCCGTCTAGTATTAACACCTTTTATGAACACAGTATCACCTACGTCTATATCGAACTGTGATTCGCCTGCGTGTTTTTCTCTCACCGTCAACTTTTTGTCAATTATTTTATCCGTAAGATATTCATATAAATATTTGGTCCTTTTAGCGTGATCCTTTACTAACTGCTGTGTGAATTGCCTATCAAAATTAATGGCAAATGTACTATTGGATTCGGTGTGTCCGAATACTACTTCAAAAGGCGTTAGATCTGTCGAAGAGTGAATTGAATGATTGTATGACATAACAGCATACGTCATCACTGACGCTGCGTCTGTAATTTTATGTTCGTATTTCGCGATTCGGTAAATTTCAGTAATAGTTGAATGAAACCTTTCGATAAGTCCCATAGAGTTGGGGTTATGCGCAGTACCAATGTGTAGATTGATTTTGTATAATGTTAGCATTTCCTTTAAGAGTACGTTATTAAATTCCATACCGGGATCTGAACTGATTTTGGATGGAATTCCGTAAAATGAAAAATACTTTATTAAAGCTCTTATTACTTCCGGGGTAGACCTACTATTAATTTCAATTGCTTGACCCAATTTGCTGAACGCGTCTATCAGGGTTAGAAAATACTTGCCTTCTATCGAAAAGGTATCAATGAAAATTTCTTGGAATGGCTTAGACTGGGTTTGAGTCAATTGAAGTTGAGGTTTTAGGGGTTTACGGTCGTATTTCATTTTCTTGCAGACCTCACATGAGTTTATAATGCTCGCTACCGTTTGTTCCATATTATTCCAATAAAACGTTCGCCTCAAATGTACTAATGTTTCCCTAATACCTCTATGGCAATTTTTACCTAAATGATATTTAAGAACTACTTCGCGTTGCTCATTTTCATCTTCTACATATACTATCCTCTTTGTACATTCATAAAATTTAACACTATCCTTTTTGAATAATTGCGTTGTGATTTCCGAAAACTGCTTGCGATGTATGACATCTTCGAAATAAAAAAATATTTAATTTTAGGTCTGATATACTCTTTCAGGAATTTTTTAATTAAATCCAAATTGTTTAATGGTAAGTGAACTTCCAATATGTTCTGTTTATCCCTAGACAAGTTTTTAACCGAACATTCATTTCTGTTCCAGGTATGAACGAGTATTTGATTCGGTTTCGCATCAATCGCTTCCTGGAGAATTAATATTCCTGCTGTGTCTATGTCTTTAGCCGAATGTACTGTATTGTTACTACTGTGTCCTTCAGAAGCTGTGGCGGTGCTACTATTTGGAGATGGTATCGGATATGGAGATTGTCTACCATGTAAAGAGGGAATACTTAACGTTTCCGAATCGGATGATACTGTTACTACGTCTCCCGCCTGATTCGAATTACCTAGCTGTACGATTTTAGAGACTACATTGCTCAAATGGCGTTGAAGTTTTTTTTCGTTTTTGTCTACATTCACTTGCATGGAAACATCATCGTTATCAGTTAAGGCGTTAATCTTAATTCTAGATAAAGCATCAGCGTTACAATTTTGTTTCCCGTTCTTATACACTATTTCGTAATCAAATTCCGATAGGCGTAACTTCCATCTAGTTAGTTTGCTATTCGGTTCATTAATGGAGTTTAACCAGGCTAAAGGGCGATGATCAGTGTAAATTGTAAATTTTTTTCCATATAAGTAAGGGCGGAAATGTTTGACTGCCCAAACGATTGCCAAAAGTTCTTTTTCTATTGTGCTGTATTTCGTTTCAGCATAGTTCAACGTACGACTTGCAAAGGCTATAGGCTTATCACTACCGATAGGTCCCTGCGATAGAACTGCACTGAGAGCAAAGTTCGACGCATCTGTGGTGAGAACGAACGGTCGAGAGAAGTCAGGATATTGTAAAAGTGGGGCGTTTGTTAAAAGCTCTTTACATCTTTCAAATGCGTCTATATATTCTTTTGTAATCTCAATTTTGTTTTTCTTTTTCAGGCAAGAGGTAAGCGGTTGTGTAAGTTTAGCGAAGTCTTTAATGAATTTTCTATAATACCCTACTAACTCGAGAAAACTTTTTATTTCGGTGGCTGTACGCGGTAATGGATATTTTAGTACTGCTTTAATTTTTTGTCATTTGGTTTTAAACCCTCTTTTGTAATCGTATGACCTAAATATAGAACTTCTTTTCTCAAAAATTCACATTTATCTAACGTGACTTTTAAATTAGTTTCTCTGAGACGGTCAAAAATTTTCCTTAATTTTTCAATATGTTCCTGAAGACTAGCCGAATACACAATTATGTCATCGAGGTACACTAAACAATGGAGACCTTGGAGGCCTCTTAAG